TTCTCCTACTGGGTTCTGACTCCTGCAGCTCTGAATTTCTTTGTTAATTATGCGGAGGGTGTGGTGGAATCTTTGTGGTCTATTGATCAGTACTTCGAGTTTGTGCTTGTACTCATGTTCAGCACTGGCTTGTCTTTCCAGGTAATGCTTCTCTTAGAAGAAGTTCATATGGAAGTTCAAGGAATGCCCTGTATTTTGTGCTTATCTTATTAATATCTATATACACAATGCACAAGATATCAGTTAACAAGTCTAATTAGTATGTTGGGATAATTTTGGAACTGTATAATTGGAGTTGTTTTTTCTTTAATAAAAGAATTTGATAGAACATAATATGGCATGTCCAGTATCGCGTTAGAATATGATATAAAATATGAGGTTGTTTCATTTTTCTCAATGGGATTGGACATGAATCTCAGCTGAAAATAGACATGACTGTTTGAATTCAATTTGGTGGAAGATTATAGTATTTAAATTTGTTTTGAAACTTGATTCCAGGTCGTCCTAGGTCTCTAATTTAATTTGTATAAAGAGTATTAATTTTCAAAATTTTCTAGACCTAAGCTCAGGAAAAGAGAGGCTTAGGAAGCTCTTCTCTTATTTATTCATATGGTATCGAAGTCAATTATCAAGAGTTGGAAATTTTACTACAAGCTCTTATTTTAAAATTAAATTCAGCACAAAAAATGATAATCATATTCTCATTCCTGAGAAAAATGTGGAAGTATATTAGTAATTAATCAATTCTGTCCAAAACTAATCTTGATGGAAAGTGGACCAACATATTATTTTATATTATATTTGTGCGTTCTAGGCCAACACTTATTTATCCCAAAGATTTAGACGTTCCTCTTTCAATTTTTGCACAAAATTGAAGTTTATTCATGCTTGTATTACAGGTTCCAGTCATACAATTACTACTGGGGCAAGTTGGCCTAGTATCAGGAGACCAGATGCTGTCTATCTGGAGATACGTTGTGGTGGGTGCTGTGGTGGCTGCTGCTGTACTAACACCATCCACAGATCCTCTTACACAGATTCTTCTGGCTGCTCCTCTTCTAGGGCTTTATTTGGGTGGTGCCTGGGTGGTTAAGCTTACAGGCCGATGATTGATTGGCTTGCTTGTATATTTACCAGACTTGCGAAGTAAAAGCGTTACTAGAGTATAAATTAGCCATTTCTTGATCTTCTTTTTAATTTGTGCATCCCTTTGACATAAATAAATCTTTCATGACACAATGCATGGTTTGAGAATTTTGTTCTAAGCCCAAGGGATGGATCTTAATTCTTTTCCTTTTTATTCCACTATAGGGTTTGTAACATGAATTGAAGATGGGCATTATAGTTTATCTCAAAGGTTGTTCTTCGATTTAAAAATCAAACTGAAAAGATTGAATAGAAGATTGGACCAAATAAAAGAAAGAGGAATTGGTTTGACCAATTCAATATTTGTGATCCTCATGTATCTTTTAATGACTCATTTTGATCTAAACTGAACTCAGTTCATTTTTCTAGTCCAATCAAAAAATGAAACACCAGTATACTATATATTGGCCAGAGGATCATGGTAGATTGATGAAAAATTCATAATTCTAACTTGTCCGGTGGCCTTCTTGTACTGAAATAAAAAAGTGAATACATTGCTAAAACACATTACTGTTTTCACTAAATTCTGCAAGATTAATAAAATACAAGTGAGCAAGGGCAAGTTCGAGTACCCTTAATTTCTTACATCAACATTCTGCATTTTCACAGCTAAATCAGCTGCATCAAAGCAACCTAGTCCAGACTCCATTTGTTTTAAAGAACTCCTCAACGAATTGCATGCCTGAACAAAAGCCTCCGAAGGGCTTTTGAAACTTTCTACCTCCTCCTGTATTTCGTTAACATGGCTTGCTACTTTCTCCAAAGTCTCCTTCATGCCAGTAACTTCTTGTGGTGGATAAAGTGAGGCTCCAAGCTCCTCCATCTGTACTTCAATTCCTCGACAAAGCTTCAATAATTTCTCCAGAGAGTCTACAAATTTAGAATTTTCATCACGATTTTCCAGTTTAACCAAACCTGTGATGGTGCGGATAAGTTCTTTAATGACTATAAGTGTCTCTGACACGATGTTAATTGCCAATTTTGCAACTTCCATTTCTTCGGGTGATAAGCTGACATCTAGAAAATCACTGTCACTTGAGTTATCCTCATCAAAGGGCACTCTTTCTGCTTCAGCAGAGCTACTTTCACAAGCTGCGTCTGTGTGTTGAAGAGAAGCTGGTTTAAGTTCCTTCATCTCCCGAAGAACATCCTTTACAGAAACTGCAACCTGTGTTATTGCTCGACCAATTGCTGTGATATTTGTGGCAGGAGCCTTCTTTAGAGCAGAGCATGCTTCCCAAACTGCACCAGCGAGCTGTGGCATTGATGGTTTTCGGTTGTCGACATAAGTTCCCTCTGTTCCAAGTTACATGGAAGTTTGTTTATACAGAAGAAAGAACCAATCATCTAGTTAGCATGTATTCACCCCTATGAAAACTTAGTGCATTTGTATGGGCAAGTGAAACTATGACAGTAATAACAGCATGCTGTGGCTTGCAAATATCATGACAATTATCTTTACGTATTTCATGAATCAATGATAACAATGTACATAGAAATTTCATCTCAATTAAGTCTCTCTTTTCCAATAAGAATCGTATTTAGAGAAAATCCAATATCAATAAGTTGATTTTTTAGAAATGCACGTGATTGCCATAAAGATAAATTACATATGTTCTTATTTGCAAATACCAATGACCAAGTTCTCTAAAAAAATTGTAATATTTAACCTGATAGTGATTCCTAATTCCTAAAACCCCAGCAGTGCCTTGCTGGTTATTCCTAATAGGTGTTCATAATCCCTTTGAATATCTCTCTATTACTGCAACTCATATTGCTGTTTATTTGTACTCCCTTCAAAAGTTCAGAGCAAACAGAAAAGAAAAGAAAACAAAATTCAGCCTAAATTTCCGTCCATTTCAATTCTCAAGAAATGCCTAACCTAACAAAATTAGCTCCTTGATTCTCTCCCCAGAATCTACTCAACACAGCTGAAAAAAAGTATAGTATGCTGATTCCTAGAAACCATGGTCCACGTCTATTTATAGATGAAGCTGTGTCTGGAACAAGTGAATTCCACCAAAAAGCATGGAATTCATTTAAAAATTGACATATATCCACATTCTGAACACAAAAATGTGATTCGGTACATGAATTCTGACTTTATATGGACTTCTTTTCTTCCAAAAAGTACATAAGAACATTGTCAATTGTATGGCAGCTGGTGTAGCAGTGCATAAAACAGGTGAGTGGGGAAAGGAGGTTTTTACCATATAGAGAAACAGAACCATGCATCAACTTAAAACTGCAATCAACAACTTGCTTAGCAGAGGCAAGGACACTGGAAGAAAGTGTAGGCCCTGCACCAACCATACTTCCATGTGAAAGCAAAAGGAAACCTTGTAGCAAATTAAAATACGTCGTCATGTTCTCCTTGAGGGCTCTAGCATCTGGTGCTTCCCCATTCCAAAGCATTCCAACTATGTAATTAAATCAGGAAGAGTATTAGCTACTTGCATCTTGAGTAAACACACGTAGTCACAGAAATGGGCAAAGCCCAGGACAAACATAGAAGAGAAGAAAGGAGAAAGCAAGACAGCCCATATATATTACCATTTTTATCAAGGTACTTCAGAACACTATTTCTGTAAGAATATCAATGTGAATTCCCAAGCAGACATAGAGTTAGGCCTACAAAAATATCAAAAGATTTTTTAATTACTTGGTCCCTTACGATATGGCCATGAATTGTATTCGTTACCTAATTCATTGAAAATGAATTTTGGTTAGCTTTAAATTCATAACTTTTGCATTGAAAAGTCCTAAATTAGGGGCTAGCCTTTCCTGCTTTTAACATGCATACAAACACAAAATGCTTTGTTCCCAAATATATATATATATAAGAAGTCTAAAATAAAAGAAAGAAGTTTAGCACCAAAAAGCAACATCATTTCAGTGTGCAAAATATTTCGCTATTCCATATAAATAAAACTAATAGAACGCTTTTAATTACACAAAGAGTTTCTTTGGTAAATGTCTTTTAGACTATGTATAAAACAAATGAACTTTGGTTGTAAAATTTATTTACAAATATACACTTACTTTAACAATGCAAATATAGAGATTCCTCACGATTAAAATTGAATATCTACATAACTTCAACTGGAATCAAAATAATATATTTCAAACTTGAAATTATATAAGAACTCAATTATTATTTGTAAGGAATCTCCACCTTTCGGTAACTAACAAAGGTATAGATTTCTAGATGAATTACATCAACAAATTTATTTGTTCCTAACACAATCATTAAAAGAAAGAAAACTCCAACCTAATTGTAACTCGCTTGACTTCCAAACTCTGCCCCCACAATTCCTTAATTTCTAATGGATGAATAAGTAAAAAGTTTCTAACTTCATACAGGAGGATAATTGAAGGGGGATACGAGAGTCATAAAGATTACCAATAGTAGCTTGCTTGGAAACTTGCTCTCCCATCTGTATAACATCTTTCCTAACACAATCATTAAAAGAAAGAAAACTCCAACCTAATTGTAACTCGCTTGACTTCCAAACTCTGCCCCCACAATTCCTTAATTTCTAATCGATGAATAAGTAAAAAGTTTCTAACTTCATACAGGAGGATAATTGAAGGGGGATACAAGAGTCTAAAGATTACCAATAGTAGCTTGCTTGGAAACTTGCTCTCCCATCTGTATAACATCTTTCCAGCTCACTTTCTCAAGTGATGAAGATGGTGATTGGTCCAGCAACTGTATGTAGACCCACAGAGCGAAATTACTCGAATCAATCAATTCCGTCAGCATATAATCAATCAATATATATATATATATATATGATGCAAAAATGAAAAATCCAATGGCGACAGAACCTGTAAGGTATCGTGGATTGTGTTGAGATGGCCGACCAGAATTTGATTCAGTTCCTCTTTTTTTCCCTTCCCCATCTTTCTCTCTGTCTCTGCTGTGCGTATCAGTGTGTGGGTTTTTCTCGCTTGTTAATAGAGTACAAGATATAACAACGGAGTTTCTCGGTTTGGGGTTTTCCAAAGAGGGTTCTTGGTAATTAGAAATCAAACGGCGTCGTTTCTCTTAACAAGCTTTTTCATTTTTTTTAAAGAAATAGTTCCAATAAATAATTAGTTTGATTTTATAAAGCATCATATTTAATAACTTGGAATTTCTTATACTTAGAAAAGTGGAATAAATGGAGTTATAATGAATATATATATATATATATATATAATTTATTTATTTATTATTTGTAGCATTCATTCTCTCCCAATAACAAATTAAACATACTCATAAACACATTGTTCTACTTTTCCAGTGTTCGTTCAGTACCAATTATGTTTATGCTTTATGTAAAGAAATCGGATAAAATTTTTATTATTTTATTACTATTTTATTTAAAAAAATTTAACTATCATAAATATTATTTTATCTAAATATATAATAATTTATTAGAATAAAATGTAACTCGAACACGTAACACCATTAATGCACTAATAAATTAAGTATTACATCATGTAATATTTCGAACATCAGTTCGTTCGGCGGTAAATCTCAATTGACTAAAAAGAAAAACATGTTACAAAAATTCAAATTCATTCTTAGACTTAAATTTATTACAATTCTAAAAAATGGGAAACAATTGAATCCCAGTTTCAACATGTTTCAAGAGATGAGATTAGTCACTATTTCATTGTATTCTAACCGAAAGAGCTAGCATAAGAGATATATGTATATATATATATATGTGTGTGTGTGTATATATATATATGGTTTGACTATACCCAAAATTGCTTCTTGCCTCTAGGCTATGATTTACTTATCCCTGAGAATCTATACTGACATATTCATAACCATCTTCCACTGAAGATATTCTACCAAAGACTCTCTCCCTTGCCTTTGCTGCCTGAAACATTAATAAAAAAGAAACCATAAGAATGTCGTCTTCTTCACAAAACTAACTAAAATTTTATGATTTTACGTATTAATATACTCAAAGGGCACATTATAGTATTTCACGATACTGGTTAATGATATAATATATAGTATATTGCGTTCAGTAGTTTAAGAACTGACATGATATAACTAGTGAAACGCAGTAAAAAACTTTTGCAGGCTAGACAATACGAAAAGGAGAAAATCATGGACTTGGGACGATTTTGAAGGGAAGAGAGAAGAAGAGCAAGACCTGTTTTTCCCAATTTGTGCAACATGTTATGGTAGCAAGCAAGAGTGTCTGAACAAAAGCACCAACTTGTATTCCAAGCCAAAGACCTCTTCCTCTCATCTGTGCCCAGAAACCTAAGAAGGCAGCAACGGGAATTCCGCAAAGATAGTATGCTCCAAGATTGACACAGGCTCCTAAGTCTTGCCGCCCAGATCCTCTAGCGATTCCTGACCATTTTTTTTTTATTGTTTCAATTAATTATGGTTTACCCATTTGATAAACTTGAGCAAACAAATCAAGAAATAAAAACAAATGGGTGCAACATGGATGAATTCTGAAAATTAACTGACCAGAAAGAGTGGCTTGAAAACTGTTCAATACAACGCATAGACATATCAGAGGAGCCATGCTGCTCACATAATCCACAACTTCAATCTCATTGCTGAAGACATGACCGAAAACTCTGCGGTTGGCGAACAAGGTTGAGCTCACAATGGCTGCTTCCGAGACTGCAAGCAGCAGCACAGTCCCAACGGCCAGTTTCGCTGCTTGTGGTTTCCCACCTCCTAATGCATTTGAAACTCTAGTGCTGCAGAACAAGACAAAGGATAAAGGTTTAGTATATTATGTAATATAATATCATATCATGAAATTTCACTATATAAAGGTATATATGTATGTATGTATGTATGTTAATTGCACCAAACCTTGCAGCAGCACCTAGTCCATCTGGTATTGTGTAGAGGGTAGCTATTGTTGACACACTGTTCCATTAATAAACATGTAAGATGCCAATCATCATGAAATTCTAGTCATAAAATTGTAAAAGCAACAGACTTTATGAAAGAAACTTGAAATTTTGGAATAACCCACATCATATTTCTAAAAGATGTAGATGGATGAAAGGGAAACATACCAGACAGACAAAACAGAAGTTTCAAGCTGTGGATTTGGCATGAGCCCGGATAGTAAGGTAAGAAACTCGAAAGACCACCATTCAAGGCTGCAAATCATTCACATTCAAACAAGTTCACATTGAGATATATATATATATATATATATATATATATATAGATGTCGCATTATTAGGTTCCGAGTCTATTGTATTCTTATTCAATTCTTGGAAAGAATAGATCGTACCAGACCATAAAAGCCGAAGGTATAGCTAAGCGGAAGAAATCTTTCATTCCTTTGAAGAGATCCATGGAAAATGGTGGAGAAATGCTTACACAACTTGACAAATACTTCATGTGCAAGCCAAGCAAAGCCACATTCAACCAATAAGACAAGCTAATTGCCAATGCTCCACCAAGATTGCCTAGTCCAAGCTTAAACACAGAGACCCAACAGAAAAATACATGGAAACAAAGGGACACCAGTGAGCTTGTAAGCAATGGAGTGACCAAGCTCTGGACTTGAAAAAAACGAACAAGTGGCTGGAGAGTTGCGTATGCCAAGAGCGCAGGTACAAGACACATTGCAAATTTACCAGCTTCTTTGGAAACTAGAGGGTCTTGGCCAGAGAAAACCAGGAGTTTTCCCATGGAAAACCAGATAAGAGATAGAGGAAAGCAAGCAAGATTGAGTGAAACTATAGCTGTGTAAATATGAGTCCCAAGTTTCTGATATTGCTGTGCTCCATAAGCTTGTCCACATAAAGTTTCAAGTGCAGCTGACATTCCAAACTGATCACCCATGTGGAAATCAGATATCCAATTAGCTATTTGAGGTAAATGAATTGATCCGAGTAATTACTTTTATAAGATTTGACCTAACAATAAATAGCCAGTAGAAGAAGAGGAGGAAGAAGAAGACATACAATAACGCTGAAGCCAGTGACAGCACAGAAGGAAATAGCTAAGGCGGTGCTGGCGAGATAAAGTTCACCAAGGTGACCAACCATCATTACAGCAATCACTTGCAGAAAATATTGAGAGAGATTCACGGCAACCATGGGACCTGCAACATAGCCCAACTTCTTCATTTCTTGAATCATCAAAGCTATGGTGATACCAGAAGAATCCCCTGCATTTCCCTCCTCCTCATCTTTACCCAACAAACTCTTTTCAATCTCCTCATCTCTCTCTTTGGTAGGACACATATTCTTATCTTCTGGATCACCCTCCTCTGAGATTTGGGACGTGAAGAACGCAGGAGGAGGCTGGTGGGAAGAGAAGAGAGAATTATGTAATGTGTGATTGCTGAGGCCATATAAATAAGCCTCAAGAGAGTACAAATCAAGGGTGGTACCCTTTAAAATTTGTATATCCCATGCCCATACGTACCTCACATGTGATGTATAGAATGAAAGAAACTAACTAAAGATATGACAGCTGAAGATTTCCAGGTGGGTATAGTGCAAAAAAAGGCTTTGAATGATGATTTAAAAAAAATCCGCGAATTACTGTTGACTTTGAGAATTCAGATTGTCAAGTTTGAATCAGTTGTGAAGTTGAGTGGAGGTTGATGACAAAAGAGATGGAAACCAGGGAGAGGAAGTGAAAACTGCGTGTATTTTCTTGTTCCTCCATCAACGTTGTACAAGTGGGCTTTTGCAAGTCGTCCCTTACTTGAGCAAGAATAGGCTAGTTTTTAGTTGACCGAGTATTACGGTAAATAATTAATTATTTTAATTACAAAATTAAGCAATAAAAAATTAATTGATAATAAATTACAATAATATTCATTTTTTACCCAAGTTCTATGATAAATCAACGAATATGAATTTCCTGTATCCCAAATCTGATTTCCTGCCATAGTGACTCACTGCTCGTATCATGGCAGCCCAGGTACTCCACGTATTTGGTGTTATAGATTAATTTAATACATCATTATAAATTAATTATTTATTTATTTATAAAAAATTATATACTCGAGTTGAATTGTGTTTTATAATTCTTATTATTACGATCAGTATTTATATTTAACAAAAAATATAGTTCCACATATATATATATATATATATAATACAAAAACAGTGTATCTCCTTCCAATTTCTTAACATACAAGAAACTAACTCCAAAACCCAGTAGCTTCTCAATCACTTCATTGAATGAGATCCGCAGAAGATGGTCCTTTAAATATCCTCTCCCTCGCATCACTTGCCTGTAATACGAACAGTAAAAACAAATTGAATAGTTTCTCACACATTTCGAGAAATTGTGTCTCTCTCAAGCCAAATATTCTGAGATTTGTAGTTGTTCCAGACAACGGGCGTTAATTTTAATAAATCATTCGTAGTTTATATTCAACACGTTCCCCATGTACTAATGGGTTATTGTATTTCAATTTGTTTATATTTCTAAACACAATTTTTTTTGCTATTTGTCTCTTATAATAATGAATATTCACACACACACACACGATTTGAAAGTACACCCTTAATGATTATATAGAGTTTAAGAGATATTTTATTATATTTGTAAAAACTTACTGATTGTTTATCCGGGTCTAAAAATATAATTGGAAGGTGAAAATTGACCTGTTTTTCCCAATTTGTGCAGGCTGTCACAATGACAAGAAGAATTGTTTGCATACAGGCTCCGGCTTGTACTCCAGCCCAGAGACCAATTCCTCTCCACTTTAACCAAAAGGCCAAAGTGGCTGCAACTGGAATTCCCCAAAGATAGAAAGCCCCAAGATTGATAAAAGCTCCTATATGCTGCCACCCACATCCTCTCGACACTCCTGACTCAAAAAAAATATATATATATATATTAAACAACATTAGTTGGCAATCAAACTACTAAAATTAAATTAAAACAACTGACATGTGTAGAGATATCTCAATTTTTAACCTGAGAGCACACCCTGTATGCTGTCTAATATCACAGAAAGACAAACCAAAGGAGCCATGTTGGTAACGTAGTCCACAACTTCTTTCTCATTGCTAAAAGTATAACCGAAAACCCGACGACTGGCAAAGAGCGATCCGCTGACGAGAAGAGTCTCTATCATTGTGAGAATCATCGCGGTATAGACAGATACTCGAGCTGCAGGAGCATTCCCGGCACCTAGTTCGTTTGAAATTCTAGTACTGCCCAAGAGAAAAACACCATCCTTATTTATTTTGCTAAATATTAAGTATATACTTAGTACTGCGATATATACAGAGACACACGCGCACACGCACACATGCATCGACAGAGAGATAAAAAAAGCAAGGAGAAAGATTGAGTATTTCTTGGAATAAGCAGAGAGATTTTCTTGATTCTAATAAATATAAACTAAGAAATTATTTTATGTGTTATGCTAGCTAAAGATCCAAGGAGAGTTGTGAACCTTGCTGCTGCGCCAAGTCCATATGGTATTGCGTAAAGCGTCGCAATAGTTTGCAGACTGTTCAAGAAAATTGTCGGAAATAAATTAGATGGAATTTTGCTTGAGGCATTACATTTTATTGTTCAAGTCAATGATAGAGAGCATACCATATAGACAGCACAGAAGTTTCAAGCTCTGGATTTGGTAATAGCCCTGACAATAAGATAAGGAGCTCAAATGACCACCATTCTAAACTGCAATTATCAACAAAACAAAAAGGAATTTATAAAGAAAAAATTTGGCGAAAATCATGAAGGAGAGACAAAGATTATAGAGAAATTCTCGCATTACTTGTCTTCTGAATTGATAATTATATTCGACTAAAATATATTTTTTAATTTTCGTAATTTTTTTTCGACTTGATTTCTGTGTCGATTCTGTGTGAAACTAATTTTTATATTTTTAAAACATATTTAAATTAATTTCTGACTGTAAATGTCGACGAACTCTGTTAATGTCTGTACTATGTGTCACCTAAACGGGTGAAAAACCAGTAAAGACGAGATGCCTCGCCTTTCACCGAGCTGAAAAAGAAACAGAGACGGTGTCGCCGACAACGAGAAAAGAGAGTTTGAGACTCGATGCGAGAGAGATAGCGAGAGTAGACGAGACAGAGAGGCGGCGAGAAGCCACCGCGAGACCTAAGGCCAGCGCCTCTTTCTCTTGTTTTATCTTCCTGTCATCTCTCTCTCCTCATCTCTATCTGCTTCTGTCTCTCTCTACCCTCCTTTCTCTCCTCCGTCGTTCTCATCTTAAATTCTTCTCTCCCCTATCTCTTGCATTTTTCTCTCACAAATGAGGATCCTAGCTGGTGAACCTACAGGAATGTTTTTTCCTAATTTGGGATTTTTTTTTGCAGCTTTTTTCTTACAAAGAGAAAGGGAAAGAGAGATCAAGGGGGGCGGAAGGAAGTAAGAGAGAGAGAGAGAGAGACTGCGTGACAGAGGAGAAGGCATAAATTTTGGGCCGGTTTTTTTTAATCTGAACCGGTCTAAAACAATCACTTTTCCCACGTCATATCTTACATGCGCAATGGGATGAAAAATTATTCAATTAAACGACACATGTCAAGTTCCTTGAAACTTGTGTTCGAGAGAGAGAGACTGATTTGAATATTATTTTTTTTAAAAAAATACTAATTTATGGTAAAATTAAAGTAGATACCGTATTTAAAAAATAAATAATATAAAAATTAAATTAAATGTAAGCCAATTATATTGCATAGCCTAAACTATGTGAGGCATGGTAGATGGCATACCAAATCATTACCGCAGAGGGAATGGCAAAGCTAAAGAACTCTTTAATTCCACCGAAGATCTCCATCGAAATTGGAGCTCGGGTCTTGGCGCAAACAGGCGAAAACACCATGTAAAGCACCAGAAAAATGGCGTATAACCAATTTGATATACTGATTGCCAATGCTCCTCCTAGATTGGCAAGTCCAGACTTGAAAACCAAAACCCAGCAGAGAGGAATATGGAGACACAAACTGGAAAATGCGCTGATTAACAAAGGAAATATTAAGCTCTGTGTCTGAAAATACCGAATGAGCGACTGGTTAGTGGCATAGGCGAACAATGCAGGAATAAGCCAAACTGCAACTCGACCGGCTTCGTGTGAAATTTTCGGATCTTGGCCGATGAAAACCAGTAGGTTTCCTAAGTTGAGCCAGAGGAGAGATAGAGGGAGACAGACTAGGAATAGGCAAAACATTGCAGTATAAGTTTGGAGTCCAAGTTTGTGGTATTGCTGAGCTCCATAAGCTTGGCCGCTTAGAGTTTCCAGTCCACTCGCCATTCCTAACTACATTTTTGCAAATACAAAACCACGTCGCGTAGAGAATTAGAAATGATGCATTTTTTTATAATTTTAAAAAATTATTAACAGATTTTTGTTAAAGAGAAACTTTACGTACAAATTAAATCATAATGTTTGCAATATTTAAAATTTTATTATTAAAATATTTAAAATTTAATCGAAATTAAAATAACTATATAAATATATACATATATATATATATATACTAGAATGTAAATATATGCTTATGTACTAACAATTCATTATTTGCTCAATAAAAATTTAACTTATCTAAACAATTATTTATTTAAAAAAAACAAACGCAAAAATTTTATTCTCATGAACTTCGACTACAAGGAGCTGATGGTTGACGACAAAAAATAATTGAGTTATCTTCCTCTCTAATTTAATGTCAATCAAAATCAGTGGTAATGACATTTAAGGACCACTTAGAGATGGGTGGCCTATATTAATCATCTGTCTGTATATATAACTAAATGTGTATAGCCTAAAAGTTAGGCGTACTAATTACGAAGATCAGAAATGGACCAGAAAAATTCCCAATCATCTTGCTGCCTCACTTACATTTTGATTTCTCGAAAAGGAAACAAAAATTATTCTAGAAAATGTTACTGGATTTTGGACGCAAATTCTTCGAGCTCATTAAATTTGAACCGACCAGGAAGAAACTAATCAAGAATTTTTAGAAAAACAAAAAACGAGAGAAAAGCGGCGAAAAGAATGAACTATACAACGAAGAAATAGTAATAAAGAGAAGAAAGAAGAAGATCAAGAAAAAGCTCACGGTAAGACTGAAACCGGTGACACCACAGAGAGAAATGGCTATGGCGGTGCTGGACAGAGCAAGTTCGCCAAGGTGGCCGACCATCATTATCGAAATAACCTGTGACATGAGAAGATTTACATTTACAGGACGAGTTTTGAATTTTGATTTTCACTAGCAAAAATCTTTTGCTTATAGATCTTTTAACAAATCTAGGTCTGAATTGAAAAGAAATTTAACTTCGTAATACTGTAACCTGTATTAAGAACTGTGATAGAGTGACGGCAACCATGGGAGCTGCTAGGTAACCTAGTCTCTTGACTTCTCGTGTGAAGACTGTCCATGTTAGGGTTGAGTATTCTCTGGTCCTATCTTGTCCGAGTGTTTTTGGTAGCAAGGCTTGATGATCCATGTATGTGACTGTAGGTTTCCCTCTCTGCAAGTGTTTGTTGCTGCTGCCGTGGGAAATGAATAGTGAAGAACAGAGGAATCACGCGAGCTGAATGAATGTAAATTGTTAGGTCTAACAAACGTCCGACTCTCCAACATTCCGCAAATTTATACACACACAATCCGACCAAGTCAATATCCTTGATGTGTTAAATTACCTAAATGCCCCTCTCTTTTTTTTTGGAAAAAAAAATCATTATTGAGGTAAGAGATATAATTTTTTAAAGTAAAAAATATATATATCTTATTAATAATATATATATATACATATAAATGACTCATCTCATTTGTACGTATATGTGGAGTTTTGACAATTTGTATTATTTGCAGTAGCGAGGCGGATCGCGTTCTGGAAGCTACGTGTACGCAAAGTGCACTTTTTAATGTGGTATAACTTTTTTCAGTAGAATTTAATATATATTAATTTTGGACCACTAAGAGTTTAGAGGTAAATATTAAATGTGTGCTTTTTGTGCTTTAAATGCTTACTTATTAGTAATATTTATATATATATATATACAATTTGAACTTGAATAATTAAATTTTTAATGAAAATATTATATTTTTGCAATAAAAAAATTAACATTTTTTAAAATAAAAATAATAAATATTAATAGATAATATGAGAACACGACAAAAATAATCTTTAAATAAAAATAAACAGAATTACAATTTAATTTGAAGATAGTCTTTTAAAAATATATAATAATTATTGAATTAAATAATAATTAATAATGTAATAATGATGCTAATTTACTTTTTATTTAATTTAATATTATGTCGCTTTGTGCATTAATTAAAGATTCCCTACATCATTATATATAATATACAACATTAAAATACTACATGTACAAAGTTTACTTTTTCTTGACTTTGATCCTTGTCAATTTAATACTAATAGATGTCAAATTTATATGGTTATTAAATTTTAAAGTACCATACCATAGACTACATCTATTTACTTAAGGACAAGATTGCTGACGTTAGAAAAACTTGACTTTTCACTTGTAAATAAATTCATAAAGATGCTCCAATAATATTTTAAATTATTGCGATTTATAAATTTTTTTTATATTTGTTTTTATTTTAAAGTTAATTAATTAATAACGATAAAAATGACAATTAAACTCAAACCCAATTTATATTATAAAATATAAAATCTAAATCTATCTCGAACTTACGGCGAATTTAAATTTTATTTTTGTTTTTCGAATTGTTTCACATTTATAAATTATTTATCATGAACCCGACTTAACTATTAATTAGGCAACACTGAGAAAGAAGAAAACCGAGAGAGAAGAAAAGATAAAAAATGAAGGAGAAAGATAAGAAATAACAGAATGACTGAACAAAAACATAGACTAAAGAATGTGCTTGAGGAAACAAAGCGAAAATGAGGTGAAAAAGCAAAACACGAAATGAGAAAAAAATTTTAAACGAGACGACAGAGATTTGCAAAAAATTTCTCGATGAATCACTAAAAGATCTCTCTCATTATATTATATCGAATTCGGACAAGTTTTTATAAATAAAATTTACACTCGTTTTGTCCCTGTAATTATTGTTTCACTTATTCGAACTTTACTAAACTTAAACCTAATAATGTCAAAAAAAATTTGCTACGAGTTGAGTTCGAGAGATGGGATTAATCAGATTCGTGTGTGTTGGTGATGTTATCTCTTAAGTCAAGAGAATAATATTAAAAGACAAAACTAAAATTTTGGATTTCTTTTTTCTATATGTATATTACTCAATGTATCATTACCAATCAGAAATACCCATCATGTTTTTATTGTTTTAGAACGTTTTTGCTACATCGAAGAGACATGATGAGGCATCACTGTAACAGGGCAGGCGCCCACGTTTGCCCACATGTTATGCACATTTGTCTTTCAGTGTAATATATATATGCATACACATAGTTATAAGGAGAGGACATAGTTCTATAATATACTAATTTGGACGGAAGGAAAAAGGAGAGGACATAGTTCTACAATATATATATATATGTAATATACTATGTACTATATATAATACTATATGAATGTTTTTTCAGCTATATGGAAGGTTTTAAATTTATGGCAATTACTTGCCAAACACTGTAAGATGGGTGTGTCTTATTTTATGTAGACGATGATGCAAATTGTCATTGAACTTTTGAGTTCATGGACAGCAACATTATATACACACACACACATATATATATGCATATAATTGTATATATGGTGGCCAAAAACGTTAAACTTAGACTAAGTCAATCTCTTGGAGAGCAAGATGAGCTGCATCTTCTCTTTTTCTCTTTTATTTTTTTTTTATTTTTTGCCATGTGCTTGCATACACACATTGATATACTCGTTCAGGTTCTTGGATAGCAAGACTACATACACATGCAAATAGACATATACATCTATATATATAGGAAAGTGGAGGTGAGGAAAATGAAAGTGGAAAGCAGAGACTGACCTGTTTTTCCCAATTTGTGGAGCTGGTTAAAATAAAGAGAACAATTGTTTGCAAAAACCTCCAGTTTGTATTCCAATCCAAAGCCCAATTCCTCTCAACTTCACCCAAAAAGCCAATATAGCTGCAATTAGAATTCCCCAAATCTAGAAGGCACCCAAATTTATAAAAGCTCCTATATCCTGCCATCCTCTTGCCACTTCTGAAATAAACAACACCACATCATATATACTCCTCAAAGATCAATGAATATTTATTTTATGTAACGGGTATTCGGCTAATACAGTAAATTAATAAAAAATTTAAATAAATTATTTATAAATTTACTAATACTATGTAATTAAATATAATAATAGATCAACATATAATTCACTTGAATTCAATAAATAATTAATGAGAATAAGAGTTAAATTTTATAAGAATAACTGAAAGATAAACTAGAGAAAAGATGTGTACACAACAAAATTATTATATACAAACCCATTCTTGGACTTAGTTTTAAAAATATCGAAGTTAGTGAAAAGATGTGTTTAGGCTTCTTCTAATGTAAACCTAAGATGAAATATATTAAATATAAGTTAAAAAACAAAAGAACTACAAGGTAACAAAAACGTGTGAAGAGTTGTTTACCAAACCTTGCGGCAGTACCAATTTCACATGGTATTGAAGATTTTATTAAACTAGTCTGAAGACTTCTCAAAAGATGACAACATGAATAAGTTAGTAAGGAGAATTAATTCCAAGTGACTTGCAATTTATTTTTGATGAATAAAAGAGATATACTTTTTCACTCCGTTTGACTATGGATGGAGAACATACCATATAGACAAGACAGAAGTTTCAAGCTCTGGATTTGGTAACAGACCTGGGAGTAAGATTAGAAGGTCATATGACCACCACTCTAAACTGCAATTAAACCCAGATTTAGGAAGTCACTTGGTGAGAATTCTGCAAGCTGGTTGGTGGAGGAGACATTGCAAGCTTGACTGGAGTGAAGGACGACCTTCTCTTGGACAAAGTAACAGTCTATCTCGATATGCTTTATATGAGAATGGAGAACCAGGTATAAAGTCAAGTAGACAGTTGAAAGTTGTCAAAAAGGGTAAAGAAGCTGTGGAGCAGCTTGGAAGATGACTTATGGAGGGCATACAAGCCATGCTTGTAGTTCCCTTGAATAACATTTGGTGGGTCTTGGAGTCCTTTAGACAAAAACTAGAACCATAAAGAAGAAAATAGCACAGGTAAATCAATTGTTAGCTAGTTAACTGACAGCAGCTTCTTCTTCATCTCATGAAATCTTCAAGTGGAATAGAACTGTCTTGGTGTGGGAACAACATCAATATCAGCATGAATTATTACAAGGGCTTCCATACCTTATCAGTACTAAGATGAGTAGAATCAATGAGATTACCCTTTAATGCTAGTGACACATTAGCACCAGTGTCAGGATGCCATTCTGGTACTTCAAAGTCTGAGGTTTGCAACGCAGCAAGGCCTTGATGAATCTCTTCGCTCTGATTGCTGTTGTCAAAATTTCACTGCATTATGACCCCTTTTATGACATATTTGGCAGATTGTAGGAGGTCTGTGTGACATGTCTGATGAGGTATTGATAGACTGCTACTAATGAGTTTGAACTTCCTGGTTAGCAAAGCACCAATACCTCCATGCCCATTTGTATCTTGAATTACGCTCTAAGATACAAAGGCTACCACAGGAAGTAGATATCAGACTGAGGGTTTTCTTGTTGCAGATCTCAAAGCTTTCCAACTGAAGAATGGTCTCTGTCTAGTTGGGTAGCTGAGGCAGGAGCACGGGTAGTTTAAAATTATTCATATTTATCTCCAAGACCTTCAATGAGCCTGAAAACTTTCTTGGCATCAGAAACTAGTTTTCCAATCACATTTAACTGGTAACATGTGGATTTGAATTCTCAAAGATAAGTTGACAGTAGCTTGTCTCCTTTCTCAATATGCTGAAGCTCACAGGAAGTCAATTTCTCTAGCCACGGAATGTTGTTTGAAGTGCTCTAGCAGAGCATGCCATGCCCATTAAGCTGTTCAAAATCCAACAGCACGACCGAGACCATTTTCAGATAGGGCTCCAATAATCAAATATTTCACCAGTTCTCCGGACCCATGAAGCATGATAGGAGTTGATAACATTATCATCATTTTATAAGTGCCATGACTTTTAATATTCTAAAACATGTATATCCACCAATACGCTCTGAGTTTATAATGACTTTGATGTGGATGTCTGGGTGTGTATATGCATATACATATATACGTGTGTGTTTGTATCTAGATATCAACAAATTGAAGGCTTCTAGGGTTAGTTTAGCATCTGTGTCTTGGATCCAGGTAGCAAAGAAGAAGAAACAAAAGGACAAAAAGCGCAGCAGAAATAATATCACAATCAGAAGCAAATAAACAAACAGTTGTCAGTCATAAGAGAAAAGAGTAACGAGAAATTTGAAACCAGTGACCCCGCAAAGAGAAACCACAATGACGGTGCTAGACAGAGCAAGCTCGCCGAGGTGATCCACCGTGATCAACGAAATAACCTGCAATAAGAACTGTGAAAAAAAAAAAATTCACATCTACCATTGATCCAGCGAGGAAATCCATTCTCGTCACTTCCTGAAATAATACAACCACGTCAGTCCTGAATCGCCGCCTCCTCCCGCTTCAGCATCTTTCTCCAGCAAGCTCTCCTCCATGACGCAGTTCTCTTTGCCGGCCATGCGCGCTCTTTTCGCATTTTCTTTCGTTATTAGGATGCGAATAACAATGGAGGCGGACATGAGCAGGAAATGGAGGGAGAATGAATATGTTCAACGAAAAGAAGGAACCAACCCAGTGGAATTCAAATCAAAAGCCCATTGGGCTGTGTGTTGGATTCTTTTCAAACAATTTGTAATTTCTTTATTTAACAAATACATATATATATTTGAATATAAATATACTAATTTAAATAAATAAACAGTTATATAGAGATTAACAAACATTAAATATAAATATTTAGTATGTAAAATTTTATTGATTAGTACCGAAATCGAGTAATAAACATACATAATTAATAACGTATCAAAAAAATAATTACACAAAAAATTATAAACTTAATGATAATGGAATTATTTGATAATCAGCAACATAATTCGTAATAATATTTTTGAAAGACCCACCAAAACATCTTAAATTTGGCTAATGATTATTTACATACTAAAATATTATGTCTTTTAAGATTCAAGAATTGCAATTCTATTTTTGTGTATATTAATTTTAGTGTGAATTATATAAATTTTTTTACTATTTACTATAAAAGCATGGGTATTGATATAAAAGATATTTATTTGATAATATATAAGAGATATAAATACTTAGTGAAAATATAATATTCTTAATAAATTAACATTAATTTATTGACTGTGTATAAAAAGGAGGAAGCTATTTTTTCTCTTATTTATATGACTATTTCAAATATACGTGAAAAACTTATAAAATTACAATTAAAAAAAAATAAAAAAGTGAGCTTGAGAAAATTACCCAGGATGAAATTACATTTTTGAAAAATAAAATTTCAGGTATTTTGGGAGACAGAAGCCAGGGGAGTGACGAAGGTGACTTCTTGTTACCAAACATTCTGGAACAACCAATCGAGGGTATGATCGTCTTTTCAGAGGAACGTCAGTCTATCTTCACGCTCTCACCATCCAAATTTACCAGGTAATTGGAGTGGAAAAAGTAAGTTGCTAAACGACATCGTTTGAGCCATACGGACGGTCTCACGGTCAGCGTCAAAGTAACGCCATATGTCCTCGGTAGGAACAGTAAAACTCCCAGGTGAAGTTCGAAAACGGAAAAAGTAAAAAAAAAAAAAGAGAGAGGAATATTCCTAATTTAACTCCGCGGTAAAAGTGAAAAAATCACTCTCACCTGTACAAATACTGGTCTCACGCACACACGCAGCGTCTCCACAAACCCTAGCATATTTCCTCTTCTCTCTCTTCGAAGCCCTGATCAATGGCTTCTCGAAGATTGCTATCGTCTCTCATCCGTTCTTCCTCTCGCCGATCTGCCTCCAAATCATCCACTCTCTCAGGCCCTAGCCCTAGACTTTCGTCACCGGCTCCTTCTTGCCGCCCATCTCCATGCGGGTATCTCCTCTCACACGCCGCGGAGTATGCCACATCCTCGGCAGCCGCTGCGGCACCGCCCACGCCTCCTAAGGTGGAGGCGAAAAAGACAAGTGGGAAGATCACCGATGAATTCACCGGAAAAGGTGCGGTCGGGAAGGTGTGCCAGGTGATCGGTGCCGTTGTGGATGTGAGATTCGATGAGGGACTTCCTCCTATCTTGACCGCGCTCGAGGTGATAGACCACTCGGTCAGGCTGGTGCTCGAGGTCGCTCAGCACTTGGGTGAGAATGTGGTCAGGACCATCGCTATGGACGGAACCGAGGGGCTCGTTAGAGGTCAGCCTGTCCTCAACACCGGGTCTCCTATTAAGGTATACCTAGTTTTCTATATTTATGCAAATTTATGTCTCTCGATGAGGAATGCTGGGTTTCATTTGCTGGTTCGGTTAGAGTTTCCGGTAAAAGTTATTGCTTTTGGTGCTATTGGATTATCAGCGCCTAAATAAAGTAGGAAACCCAAAAGATGCGTAATAGTTGTATGAATGTAGATCCGGTCTTTCTGGTATTTTGAGTGCGATAAGATCTTCGAATGTTGCTTCTTTATGTTCTGCCAATAAGTTCTTCCAGTTAGATTTCATATTCAACCCATATCACTTGTTAATCGCCTCAGTTACAACTAGTCAGAAGGCCTTTGTCTACCTTCGCCAGTAGGAGATTTTTTATTTTATTCGCAGATCTAGATCTTTATGTAGATTGATAATTTCATTGAGTAAAAGCTACTTTTGGCTGTCTGCCCAAATTAAGATATGCTGTGGGAAATTTAGAGTTTACTTGTTGAATAGTCTTGGCTTCATCAAACTTGAGTATTCACGCAATTGATCTGCTTCTCTTGTAGTTGTTGTGTCTTGGGTTTATTGGGCTTTGAGATTGAAAATTTTTTCCTTTCTTTTTGCCTTCTATTATTTAACTTTTGGAACTGATAAGACAATTTTAATATATTTGCATATTTTTGTGTAGATTCCTGTTGGTAGGTCTACCCTTGGACGTATCATGAATGTTATTGGAGAGCCTATTGATGAGAAAGGAGATATCAGTAAGAATTACAGACATTCCTTCTAATTGAGTTATTTTATGGAATAGTGTTTTAATTATGATATATATTATTTATTTTGATGTTATGACAGAAACGGACCACTATCTGCCCATCCACAGAGAAGCTCCAGCTTTTGTTGATCAGGCAACTGAACAACAGATCCTTGTCACTGGTATCAAGGTGGTTACTACACTGATATATGATATGTTTTTTTTTTTGCTACATCTCCTACCTAAATAAGGTTGAGTTTAAGGTGAAATTTTTGTCTCATGTTCTTCCTGTGTGTTTATCAATGTTGGTCTGTTCTACAGGTTGTTGATCTCCTTGCACCGTACCAAAGGGGAGGAAAGATTGGACTATTTGGTGGTGCTGGTGTAGGAAAAACAGTGCTTATTATGGAACTGATTAACAATGTTGCCAAAGCACATGGTTGGTTTCACAAAAATGCAGTTTCAAAATTGTATTTTGTCATTTAACCAAACTTTACATGTTCTCTGTTAATCAGGTGGTTTCTCTGTGTTTGCTGGTGTTGGTGAGCGTACTCGAGAGGGTAATGACTTGTACAGAGAAATGATTGAAAGTGGTGTCATTAAGCTAGGAGACAAGCAGGTCAATGAAATACATTTTACTTCTCGATGTCTTTATTATTGCATTTTAGTCTTCTTCATTATCCTTTCTTTTCTTTACAGGCTGACAGCAAATGTGCTCTTGTATATGGTCAAATGAATGAGCCCCCTGGTGCTCGTGCTCGTGTTGGGCTTACTGGTTTAACTGTTGCTGAACACTTCCGTGATGCTGAAGGACAAGATGTGCTTCTCTTTATTGATAATATTTTCCGTTTCACCCAAGTAAGTATGTTGGGGTGTAAACATATCATGTCATGCACTACATTTTATTTATCTTGTAAGATTCTGAGTTTTTTCTATCCTGCAGGCTAACTCTGAGGTGTCTGCTTTGCTTGGTCGTATCCCATCTGCTGTCGGTTACCAACCTACTTTGGCTACTGATCTTGGAGGCCTTCAAGAGCGAATTACAACCACAAAGAAAGGTTCTATAACCTCTGTCCAAGCTATATATGTGCCTGCTGATGACTTGACGGATCCTGCACCTGCAACGACTTTTGCTCACTTGGATGCTACCACTGTGTTGTCACGACAGGTACGCAACGTATCAACCTATTGTTCTAATATTCATGGCCAACAATTAATCTTTAAGATCTGAGCATTTTTTCTCTTTCTCCGTTGTGTAGATCTCCGAGCTTGGTATCTATCCTGCTGTGGATCCTCTTGATTCTACATCTCGTATGCTTTCCCCGCATATTTTGGGTGAGGAGCACTACAACACTGCTCGTGGTGTTCAGAAAGTTCTTCAAAACTACAAGAACTTGCAGGATATCATTGCTATTTTGGGAATGGATGAGCTTAGTGAAGATGATAAATTGACTGTTGCTCGTGCTCGCAAGATTCAAAGGTTCTTGAGTCAACCTTTCCATGTAGCAGAAGTGTTCACGGGTGCCCCTGGCAAGTATGTGGAGTTGAAAGAGAGCGTAAACAGTTTCCAGGTACTATTTCCCCCCCCTATTTTAATGGAGCTTATACTTGTGATTTTTTTGTTGCAATGCAATACACTTGTCATTTGGGGTTCATGATAGTTTTCCTGCTAGAACAAGTTATTTGACTTGAAAACTTGTCATATTCATGAAGTCTGTTTCTATAACCAGGCACGAGATCTAAGAATTTCTGGAACCCTTTAGAGGACCGTCTAAAGTAGATATTGTCAAAATTTTCAGAGGTCCATAGGTTGTCATGTTTCTCGTGGATGTGGATTATTATTCTGGTTCTTGTAACAGTCAGGGTTTGTTTATTATTTGATTGTATTGAAACTTAAGGGTAAGCAAATGGCAATTTGAGTTTTGATGCCGCGATCCTTGATATCTATTGATGGAGAAATTTTTTTTGAATATTTACAGGGTGTGCTTGATGGAAAATATGATGAACTCCCAGAACAGTCATTCTACATGGTTGGAGGCATTGACGAGGTTATGGCAAAGGCAGAGAAAATTGCCAAGGAATCAGCTGCTTAAACCATTCAACCTCGATTTTCTTCTTGTTCTTTTCTCTAATAGATGCAAAAATCAATAATCTAGGTGGTGTTGGTGATACCAACAGCAGGATGTTCAATTTTTTGGAACCCAAATGTACTCGAGGATTTTTTTAAATTTCCATATTAAGGTTATGGCAGAGTGTGAAAGTGCAACAGAACTGGAAGCCGGTCCTGCCAAGATCGCTTTTTTCTTTTAATTTAATAAGGGGAAAAAGGAAGGCGGACGTGTATATTTTTCCTTGGATTTTCAGAACATCGAATGCTCTAATTGCGTTTTTTTTCTTTCCGCAAGGGTACTGTTTATTTTACTTGTCCTGAGTGATTTTCATTTGAACTCAGCCAGTTGCCGATGGGCTTATATATGATCTAAATAGTTGTTTGGATAAAGCTGTTTTGTATTTGGTAGTGATTGAAATCGTGTTTTGTCAATCTGAGCGGAATAGGTGCATGGAAAACGCAGCTGCGTCGTAAGATGAGAATGTTCAGTTCTTCAAATTTGCTGCTCTTAATAATTAACTTGCAAGACGAAGACGATTGACTATTTTTGTCTTTATCCACCACTTCGAAGTTGATTGTGGAGAAGTTAAACCAGAAGTTGTGTACTTTTAAGAGTTCACCGCTTTGAAATTCTTTACTTACAAAATTATAATAAGTGCAAAGTTCCTAAGTGGATCGAAAGCTTTTATAAGATCATATAATTGCTATTAAATATTATTAAGCTGTAAGCTTCTCCATCCAACGTTACTTAATAGCAGCCTTCCTACTCCTGCACCAAAACGAAAGAGCAAATACAAGACATTTACCGATTGATATAATATGAAGTTGCAAATTTTGAACGATGGAAGTGGGTCCCACTTCTTATCTTCCGGATTGAAAGGCTCATCTTCGTAAATCTGCCACGTGGCCATCTTCTTAACCTGTACCCAAACCTATGCCTCTATCGCATGAGCGCATTTTGTCAAACGCCACCTCATCACCAGCGCCCCCTAACTTTAGCGCCGGCGCTCTCTAGCCGACCAACCCGCCATAGCAACGCATATAACCGAACTACGTACAACTGGAAAGAACCATGGCCCTTTCTCTTTCTCCTCCAATCCTCTCTCTGTCGCCCTCTCGCTCCCATGCGCACCGTAGCCTCTCCCTCCCTCCCATGTCTATTCTAAGCCGCCTTCATTCCCATATTCTGACTAGTACCTCCGTCTCTCCAACAAACGGCGTCTCGCCTCTCTCGCCTCCGCCGCAGTCCGGCAGGACACAGCAGCCTGGACTCCGGCCCCTCTCTCTGAGATTGAGCCTGTTGCCGACTCCCTTTTTCACGTCAGCATCGACATCTCCGATTCTCCGGACCTAGCTTCTTCCCACACGCGCGCCGGCCAGTACCTCCAGCTCCGGCTCCCTGACATCTCAAAGCCCTCTTTCCTTGCCATAGCCTCCCCGCCTTCTTCTGCCGTTGACCGCGGTGCTTTCGAGTTTTTGGTGAAGAGCGTGGCGGGGTCAACTGCGGAGTTGCTCTGTGGATTGAAAAGAGGGGACGTGGTCGAACTGAGTCAGGTAATGGGCAACGGTTTTGATATCAACCAGATCGATCCGCCAGAGGATTACCCTACGGTCTTCATTTTTGCCACGGGATCGGGGATTAGGTGAGGGTATTTTCTGCAGTTCTGCTCTTGTTTGTTTCCTATTTAGTTGCTAGCTTAACAGACATAAGATGTTTTGAATTTATGACTTTGGTTGCTCTTTAAGGTTTTAGGTTTTAATTTAATACACTCCAGATTTATCGACTTAGCCAAATTTGTATCTTTATGCGTGTGGGTGTGTATGTGTATATAATAATTTGCCTGTAGTGGATCTTTCTGCTAATTCAATAGGTGTTTCATGGCGTTTAATAGAAATCCAAGGTAGACATGCAAACACAATACCTTTCCTATTCTAGCAGGCACTTCACAAATTAGCATTAGTTCTGCTAATTCTATAGGTGTTTTCAGGGTGTCACTAGCTATATCAAACCTTAGGTAGGGCATCCTGTGTTAGATCTATTTTCTGTTCTAGCAAGCACTTGTCAACTTAGCTTTCATGTAACATTACATGTTTTTAGGTTTTCCTCATTCTCTGGCTTTGTGATGTCATCTTCTTCGTGCACCAACTGTGATGCATTCTGTATAGTGGAGAGTGTCAGTTATGATGAAACCGTTTTCTCTCCAAGAATAGTGAAAATAAAACCTGAGAAGCACGGGAATTCCATAGCTTGGTCTCCAATCTGTAGTAAGTTATTTGGAACAAGAGCAATCAATTAGTTGGGAAATTGGCGCGTTTGGAAGAAATCTTGTTGGAAATTATTAGTTTAGTGATACTAAGGCCAGTACAAACTTCTAGTAACAGTTTTATTTACTTTGTGGATTTTGGGTATGTTATTGATTCACTAACAACATTGTGAAGCTTTTGTATAGGGATGGTACCTCCGATTGTTTGGTACCATGTTAATATTATTTCACACTTTTTATTTCAAAAAAAAAAAAACAGTTTTGTTTACCTTGGGATGATATGCTGATTGATCTGCCCTTGAGTACTAGTGTTTTATTTTGAGGTCCTGTGCTTGGACTGTTGGATTTGATCTTTCAGAAAATGATGGAAGTGAGTTAAGTCAATGCCTTGGGCTCACTATTTTATGCTGACATCAGTCGTAGCATGTCTGATTTTTATTTTTTCTTTTGAGAAAAAGAAACATGTTTGTGATTAAGATTTGATGGAATATGTTTGATTTTTGTGCTTGATATACTAAGGGAGAATGCGGATGCATCTCTAATTTTCTCAACAAGTCTGTGAGACAAATTTTTGAAGGGTGATGTGAAACAATTCCTCCATATTTGTTTATTCTATTCCTCTTTAAGAACTACACATTCATGTGCGGCCACTCAACAAGTCTGTGAGACAAATTTTTGAAGGGTGATGTGAAGCAATTCCTCCATATTTGTTTATTCTATTCCTCTTTAAGAACTACACATTCATGTGCGGCCACTCAGCCACTAAATCCCATATGATCTCTCAAGGGCTGGGCCACCTTGTTTTGAGTGGATGCTAGCTCCCCCTTTTCCTAGTTCCATGGGTAGTATTTTTGTTCCAGTGGTGAGACCCCATTGAGGGAAAATGACCGAAAGTATACAGTAAATTTTCATTATAAATTTGGGATTTCCTATTTTACATATTTAAATAACAATAATCATTTCAATTGTGCTGTTGTCATTTATTACATGTTGGTAATTGCAAAATGTTTCTAGCTTTTGCTTTTCTGCTACTGAGCACTCACAAAAACTAATTTGCAGTCCAATCCGATCGCTCATTGAATCAGGATTTGGTGCTGATAGGAGATCTGATGTGAGGCTCTATTATGGGGCTAGAAACCTGAAGAGAATGGCTTACCAGGTTCGATTTGCTTATGCATTCATTATTTTGAATCTTTTATTATTCTTTGGAAATGCCAATCCTATCTGTTTCATTGTGAACCTTTTGTTTTGTTCTTCTTGTAGGATAGGTTTAAATATTGGGAATCTTCTGGTGTCAAGATTGTACCAGTATTATCACAACCAGATGATACTTGGACAGGTGAAAGTGGCTATGTCCAGGTACGAATGTCTCTGCAACTACATGCTGCAAGGTTGATATCCTCCTGAAATCAAATATTATCTCCTCAAACAATCTGTTTTGCAGGCTGCCTTTGCTAGAGCCAAACAAATTTCTACCGCTAAGGCCACTGCTGCTGTGCTTTGCGGACAGAACCAAATGACAGAGGTTTGATTCTATTTATAGTTTAGTTATCTTCAGTTATTTTTATTTTATTGTAAGCATTATTGGGATTAATGTGTGTGTTAGTTGCATGTTGCTTTTATATAACCATGTGGTGCCTGAAAGATATGTAAACTCTAGAATGACGCAAAATGCTCTTTCATTTTATTTTATTTTTTATCTTCATGCTTCTAATTGTAACTTTTGGCTCCCTTCTTCCATTTTTGAAATTGTCTGGCATCTCCTTTCTTTGTTATTTGTATGAGGAAGTTTTCACTGCAACGCGTCCAGGGCTTTTAGCTAGGTGCTCTGATTGAATTTAATGTTTGTGAGATAGCAACCGATACATGTCTTATTCAATGATAAATTTGGATAAACTGGGTTTAGATCAATAACAGGTTGGACTACCTGCAGTGTCTGCCTGATGTTTTATACAAATTAAAGGATTTGGAAATAAGGAACATCATGTTACCATGAGCTTGTTTGTTGTTTCTTTACTGAACTATATGTTGTTATTCCCAATTCTTAATGCAATTATAACTGAGCTAAACGATCTCTGGATGGATTAATATTATTATGACTTGTTGGTTTCAAGGGAGATGGTGCCTGAGGGTATTAGTAAACATAAAGTTCTGGTGCTTTGGAACTTACAAATGCCTAAAGCTGACAGAGGGGATTCCTAATACTAACAGATGTATATTATCAGTGTTCAGAAATGAAACTTGTATGTAAGCAAATAAAATGAAGTCAGGAGTTTCAGGGATATGATGTTTGTTTTCTTATAAGTTGCCTGGCCTTGCTTTCCCTAGTTTTTCTTGATAGCAGTGTAAGTTTGCCGAAAGTAGTAGTCAATTTTTGAGTTTGATGTATGATTATATTGAGAAGAGCTCCTTTTTTCTAAAAAAGAAGAAGAAACAAAAACTTAAGATATAGATTTCTGATTATGGGATTTATTTCCCCTCCAAATAGCCTAGGATGCGATACTTAGTTTTGGTTTGACTTGTTATTACCTCTCCTTCATTTGAGAAAAAAAAATTACCTCTCTTTAGAAGGGATTAAAGGATTCCTATGTGCAGCTTTTTCTTTATAATATTAAGGGAAAAAACCATCTTCATGCTAGTGTTGAATTATCTGGAAAACATTATAGGATTAACATATTGGTTGAATAGATTGTTCTCTTTTACAAAAAAAATATATTCAAGTGGCACTAATGGGGCATCACCCATGTACGAAGGCTGTAGACAAGAAACAAAACCATCCACAAGTTCTCCATTGCTGGTGAGTGTGTGTCCTGAAATCAATGGGTAAAGAGTATATCTCCCAAACTCTTCTGTCTCTATTCTTCTAGATGAGCCAAAACAAGGAGAGGCAGATGATTATGTTGGCTTTGGGTCCCTACTAATCTTATGGGAAACTGACCAAGCTCAATTATCATTCCGAACCCTTTCCAGCAATCATTTGAACCTCATGAATCGAAGTCCATCTCTCATAAAAGTTTTTTTTTTTTTTTTAAATATATTCTCTCATAAAGGACTATGATTGTGTATTTAGTTCACATTTATATGAGGAACATCTATTAACAAGGTGATGCCACACCTATCCAGGTTGTCCAACGTGAGAATCCTATTCCAGTTGGCTTCCCATATAAAAACACAGCATTTGAGCTGAGTCCTTCCAGAGAGTCCTCAGGAGTAGTTCCCTAGGCAACCTTCCTGTGAAGAGGAATGCATGAATTACAGAAACCTTGCAGTAAATGCTCCTTTCCTGCTGAATTTCCAAATTTCTTTATCCATTGCTCCAGGCTGACCTTGACAGCTAAAGAACCTCTATATATATATATATATATTTTGGAAATAAACAGCTAAAGAACCCATACATCGGAGAGAACACAGAATCCAGCTCCAAATCATTAAACTGCCTCTGAAACCAAATGTCAGACACCCACCTTCTGCTAACAATTACTCTCATTTTCTTAAAAGAGAGAGACAAGAAACAAAACCATCCACAAGTTCTCCATTGCTGGTGAGTGTGTGTCCTGAAATCAATGGGTAGAGAGTATATATCCAAAACTCTTCTGTCTCTATTTTTCTAGATGAGCCAAAACAAGGAGAGGCAGATGATTATGTTGGCTTTGGGTCCCTACCAAGCTCAATTATCATTCTGAACCCTTTCCAGCAACCATTTGAATCTCATGAATCGAAGTCCATCTCTCATAAAAGTTTTTTTTTTTTAAATATATTCTCTCATAAAGGTCTTGACTATGATTATGTATGTAGTTCACATTTATATGAGGAACATCTATTAACAAGGTGATGCCACACCTATCCAGGTTGTCCAATGTGAGAATCTTATTCCAGTTGGCTTCCCATATAAAAACACAGCATTTGAGCCGAGTCCTTCCAGAGAGTCCTCAGGAGTAGTTCCCTAGGCAACCTTCCTGTGAAGAGGAATGTATGAATTACAGAAACCTTGCAGTAAATGTTCCTTTCCTATTGAATTTCCAAATTTCTTTATCCATTGCTCCAGGCTGACCTTGACAGCTAAAGAACCTCTATATATATATATATATTTTGGAAATAAACAGCTAAAGAACCTATACATCGGAGAGAACACAGAATCCAGCTCCAAATCATTAAACTGCCTCTGAAACCAAATGTCAGACATCCACCTTCTGCTAACAATTACTCTCATTTTCTTAAAAGAGAGAGACATGGAAACACAAGCTTCAGTGAAGATGGCTCCATTTAAGGGATTGTGCGAAAACAACAGGAGCTGCCTAGTGTGAACTGCAGCCTCTGCCTGGACCACGCCCACCAATTGTAAACTTCCTGGCCATAAGCTCAGGGAATGGAGAGGAGGGGTAGGTAATGGACAGGACCGTTGGCAATTATGCTATGAATCAAGTTAAGTGGCAGCTTGCTTTCTAGTGACTTTTCCAACCAGTCAGTTGCTTCTATATCTTGACCAGCGGTCTTAAGCTTTCACATTCTTGTGCCTAGCACTCAGAGACAAGCCTAGATAGAATATAGGAGAAACCCCAGGCTTGTAGCTCAAAGTCGCAACTAGCTCAGCCTCATAAATGTCACTATCTACCATAGTCAACTCACTCTTCCACAGGTTTAGCTCAAACTCTGAGAATGAGATGACCTAAAAGCACAATTAGAAGACATCTGAGATGGAGAAAGTCAGCGGCCATCTATGTGAGAAAGAGAATACCAGGATTTGTGAATTGTAGGGCCGAGACTGTTAAGTATGAAAGATCCTACTATGCAGCTTCTTTTGAGTTCTACTTTATCATATTTAAATAAGAAATATTATATCATTCGCCCACTAATATATGGGAATTAATATTAACAGTATAATCGTCCTCACTTAGTAGTTCATAGTTGAAAATTAAGAAATTATCACATTTTGGGGGATTATTTTCTATTATTTTCTAATTGAAAAAGAGTAGTTGAAGGGAAATAACTTCGATGATCTAAACTGTCCATTTCTCTCTTTATTTTTTGTTTTTTAATTAAAAACCAAGCAATTCAGAGTAAGGACGCATCATCATTTTCTTTCTTTCCCTATATCCATAATTCAAACACACTCTCAGTAGTTTTAAGGCACAAAATGATGTCTTTTAGTATAAAAAGTTGTCAAATACTAGAAAAAATTTCTTTCGGCAAAAATGTCTTTATAATACCTGAATGAAGACCCCCCAAATATTTTTCCGACATGGCTATGCCATTTCCTTTTCGCAATTTGTAGCCACTTTAGACTGTTATGGAAATATGGTGAAGGTTCTGAATTATCTTGAAAAACTTGTACTTAGTACTCCTTTGTTATGAAATGGAGTATTATAGCCCTAGACTGGCCTTTCTTTTTCCTATCTTGCTCTAGCACTAAATATGCTATTTGTAGTGCATTTGTAAAATTGGGTGCTATATATTGGACAAGTATATGATTGAGGTTTACATATCGCAAGATTGAAGCATGAATTGTGCTACAGAAGCTGTGGCTACATTTGCAAATAATGACTGATTGCAGCAAAGATTTCGACAAAAACTCTCTCTGGTCTAGATTAGATGGAAGTGTAACATAGTGCTGGTTTTCTTGTGTCTGCAGGAAGTAACCTCAATTCTTGTGGCAGATGGAGTCTCAAGGGAGAAGATACTAAAGAACTTCTGACAAAATTCAGGATTGGTTCCTATTGTTGTATTATTGTTGAAGAAGAGTTGACAATTATTCTTTATTCCAAGTGGCTGAGGATATGAAATTCCTCAAAGCGAATAAAACCAAAAATTTGGGCAATTTTCACTGTGTGAGCTGTCTTCAACAGTTCAATCACTGTATACACTTGAGAGAAATCGAAAAACGGCTTCATGTTTTACTTGTAAAGGACCCGTTATAGCACTGCTCATAATGATCATTGATGTTATCCTTATTGTTTCGTTTGCTCTTTTACAGTATTACGCTTTAAAGAACAAATGAACAAACTTTTGTCTGCAATTAAGTTCTTATCAGTGATATTATCCTTAATGTTTCTTTTGCACTTTTACACTATTACGTCTTAAAGAACAATGAATAAACTTTTATCTGTGATTAAATTCTTAAAAGGCTAAGAGTTGAAAGTCTCAAGAAAAACAGTGTCGTCAGTTGACGTGCTAGATCACATCAATATCGAGGGCAAAAATAGGCACGATCGAAAAGCACAATAAAGTATGCAAACAGAGAAATATTTCTGATCCAAAATTCCAAACGAGCCAAATAATCAGTAACAAGTAGAGTGCAGATTACAAATTCAGATTGAAGTCTTAAGCTACTCAGTTGCTAAAACAATCTAAACCAACCATCCACAGTCCGCTGAATGATAAACCCAGATCACTAAGGACACTCCAGATCATTGTTGCTCCCGATCATGCTTGTCTCCTATCTCTGCATGATCCTTCCCATCGGGTGCTTTGGTATCTTCAGTAGAATGAGTTTTCTCCACATTATGATGCTTATGTTTGTGATGATGTCGATAATGACCATTCTTCTTATGCCTGGATTTTTTACCCTCTTCTTCCAGGTTGTCATCGGATGACTTTCCCAGCGATTGGCTTCTTCGAATATTCCTGTGCCCATCAGAATCAGACTTTGAATCTTCACTCTGTGAATGTAGGTGGCGTTTATGGTGTTTCCGATGGCTTTTCCTTCTGATTACATTATCCTCTTTGGTTGAAGAATCTGAATCACTAGACTCTGACCGTCGATGGCGTTTGTAATGTCTTGTGTGATTTTTCTTTCTGCTTCTAACATGGTCTTCATCACTTGATGAATCTGAATCACTAGATTCTGAATGGTGGTGGCGTTTGTGATGCTTCACATGACTTCTTTTCACTCTCTCGCCATCATCACTCAAAGCATCAGAAGCACTAGATACTGACCTTGAATCATAGTGCCTGTGTGTTCTGTGGTTTGCCTTCCTCCTTCTCTGCTCTTCTTCAGAGTCACTTTCAGACTCTTCACTGCTATCTCCACTTGAGCTTGAGTTTCGTCTCTTCGGCTTTCTCTTTGATCTCCTGTCTTTCTTCCTGTCATTGTCCCCTGAATCAGCATGGGCATGCTTTCTATGCTTCTTGTGAGATCTTTTCCTTATCTTTCTTCCTTCAACGCTCCTATCACTATCACTTTCAGAACTAGATTCAGAAACAGATCTTCTTTTATGTTTTGCAGCCTTGGACTTTCTCTCCTTGGCTTCAGCATCAGCCTTAGCCTTCGCAGCAGCTTCCAGCTTCTGCTCCCATTTCAAAGGAGCTTCTTTCTTTTCTAAAGCTCTCTTCTTTTTCTCCTCCACCAACTGGATGAATCTTCTGCAGTCCATTCAGATACAAAAACCAGCTCAATATCTGCATTTTGGTATGATGATGACCGGAAGTACATCTCACAGAAGAGAAAAAACAATGTTAGCTCTTCTATTATTTAACTATATACCCTCATAAAAATATCACGCACAAAAGAAATAATGGGGTAATGTAGAATAATTAGATATCATGCGTAAATATGAACAGTTGCAACTTATTTCAAACTTGAGGAACCAACCCAATCTACTCCTTCAAGAATAATGTGATAAATACCAGTTCAACAGTTCATTAAAGGCACAAAAGCTACCCCATAAGATTACACCTCACATGACATGTTAAGTGACCGAGGTCGACACAAGCATAAACTGACCATCAAAATGCCATGGATAGCTACAAGAAAAGAAAAGAAAACAAAAGCATATATCCTCCCAGAAGGATGAATTCAAACCAACTTTCTTACCTTATGGGGGAACGGAAACAATGCCAAAGGCCTGAGTGAAAAGTCCAAAGCCACAAGTCTCCACAATATATCTGAAATCTGTGTAAAATAAGTTGAATAAATACTCATCGGTCAGATTCTTCATATCTAAAACTCTGTAGATAGAAAATCTCAAGATAATCAAAGACAAGTCAACTGGGAAATACACAACTAAAAAGGATAACGCTTTGCTAGAGCAAAAATGACTTATCGTCTATGCTATGCAACAGAAAATTTTCAGTCATAAACAATGAACAGCAGATTGGTGAATGATTTAAGAACAAAGCTTAATATCCCTTATACGACCAAACACATAAAAAGAACATCTCTTTATCAGGAAATCTTCGACCCAAATATATCTAAGCCGATGAACTAAAATTCCGAGATCTAAAGCCCTGATTAACAGTTAATCTCAATCACAAATCAATTGTCATCTAGAATCAAGACAAACAGTGACGTTTCTCAAATCCAAATCCCTAATCACCGGGACAATTCAAAACAGAAACAGAAATTAGCAAAAGATAATCACAGATCTGAAAAACAGCACCTGATCGAGAAAGAGTGATTGCAGCGGAAGGGAGAAGGGAGAAGCTAGGGCTTGACTTTTCTACTACGCCTGCTGCCTGCCTTCCAGAAAGCTCTAAAGAAAGAATTCGGGTCGCACAAGCGTTAAGCTTGTATATATAGATTTACACACACGAGCCGCACGTACGAGATACGTAATTTTATTTTGAGCATTTTTTTTTTCTCTTGGAGGAATAGTAATTTTCATTTTGTGCATTTTGACGCTTAATAAAATTAATTAAAGGCTTGATAATCTAATCTAATTTTTTAACAGCGACTTGTTTTTTAATAATTAATTTTGGAAGGGCACCAGAATTTTTCGAAAATTTTAGATAAGAATACATATAAATTTGAAATTAAATAAAAAAGCAGATAAATAAAATTATAGATTAAATTATGTTTAGTATCAAAAAATAAACTATAAATATTATATTAATAAAAAATAAAGTTAAAAGAGATATTTAAAAAAAGCCCAATCAGCACCGGTAGTTAGAAGGAAAAACTCCGAGGCCCACAAACCAAGTTCGCTTTCTGGGCCGAGCGAGTTCGGCCCAGTCCATATCCATGGCCTCTCTGTGTGTTGCTTACGTAGCTTCTCCTACATTTCTATTTTCTTTGCAATTAAGTTTCAACAGTAACAGAGAGGGGGATAGTCAGTCAATCCAGATTCATTAAATCCACGCCTCTTTTGATCCCCAGAAATCGACTGATCGAACCAAATTTCAATTCCCCCTTTCTTCAATCTTCCGCCATGGCCGCTTCCTCTTCCTCCGCGGCCACCACTAATATCATGCTCGCCATCTATGAAAAGAAGACTTCTACCCTCGACCTCTACCGCCCACTCCGCAATTACATCTCCTTCAATTACTCCGACCGCGAGGCTCAGAATTTGGAAGACGATCTCCAGACCCTCAAGCAGCTGCGCTCCGATATTGAGCGGATACCTGACCCGTCCCCGCCCGCACGCCGAGACCTCTTTATTTCCTACTTCAAGGCGCTTTGCCTCGTCGAGAATCGCTTCCCTATCTCGCCTGACAAGGACCATGTTAACACGGTCACGTTTGTTTGGCATGATGCCTTCAAGCAGAAGCAGAAGTCCAGCCAGCAGAACATCCACCTCGAGAAGGCTGCGGTGTTGTTCAATCTGGGAGCTGTGTACAGCCAGATTGCGTTGTCCTATGATAGGACCACGGCGGATGGGCGAAGACAGGCCTCTCACGCGTTCATCGCGGCTGCTGGTGCGTTTTCCTATCTGAGGGACAATGAGTCCACCAAGGCGTCGATGGGAAGCAGCACCACCGTGGATGTGTCGATAGAGTGCGCGGGGATGTTGGAGAGGCTCATGCTCGCGCAGGCGCAGGAGTGCGTCTTCGAGAATACAATTGCCAAGGGAAGCACCTCTGGGGTTTGTGCCAAGATTTCTAGGCAGGTCAGGCGGTTCTTTTTTTTTTTTTTTTAATGCTTCTACCTTCTGTGATTTGTTTAATTTTAATTGCCAGCTATTGAATTCGATGATGAGTAATGCCTTATGGATATTTGGGTTTCAAGTGATGAGAGAAAGATAGACCACCTACTAGTTTGTAGAGAAGTGGAGGATTTACACTAGTAGTTTGTAGAGTATATCCAATTTAGCTTAATACTAATAGTAGATGTGTTTCAGCTTGCTTCTGTTAGCTCCCTTATTTATAAGAGAAGTTGTAACTTATGCACCCACCCTGAAAATATGTTGTTGACTATAGAAGAAAACTGCAGTTTTACAAAATGTAGGTAAAGCATCCATTTTATGGCTTCTTTTGGAGGAATGCAATTCATGGACCTAATTAGTTTATTGCACAACCATGGAAAATATTGTAGAGTTGGTTGAGCTGTAATGAGTATCTAATTGGTCTTTTGCAGGCTGGGTTGTACTACGAGGAAGCTTTGGCAGCACTTAATGTTGCACCTTTGAAAGATCATTTTGATAAGGCATGGTCTTCCCATGTGCAGCTTAAAGCAGCTCTTTTCTGTGCTGAGGCTTGTTATAGATATAGTTTGGAATTGCATGACAAAGAAGAGATTGCAGAAGAAATTGCCCGGTTAAGGAGTGGGATTAATGCTTTAACTGAAGCAAAGAAATCCTCAAAAGGGGCTGCTGCACAACTTCTTGATGCAATTGTCAAGTTGGAGGCCAATCTTAATCACAACTTGGATCGGGCTGTGAAGGAAAATGACAGAGTTTATCTTATGAGGGTTCCTTCCCCAAGTTCTTTGCCAGGACTTCCAGCTTTTTCCATGGTTAAGCCAATGCAGATGCATGAGGTACTGGATGCAAGCAAAGAGAAGATGTTTGCAAGTCTTGTTCCGGACACCAGTGCAAAGGCTCTCTCCAGATACACTGAAATGGTTGATGATGTTATCAGGACACAAGCTGAGAAATTACAACAAGGGAGTGAGCTCACTCGAGTGAGACTCAAGGAAATGGATTTGCCTGAATCAATTCTTGCTTTGGAAGGGAACTTTACCCTTCCAGATAATCTTAAGGAAGATGTGGAAGCAGTTCAAATTAGTGGTGGTCCAGCTGGATTGGAAGCTGAGTTGCAGCAGCTTAGAGATCTGAGGAGGGTGAACCAGGAATTGCTGGTTCAGACTGAAGAGCTTTTGCAAAAAGAAGCTGCAGAGGATGCTCAATTTAGAAGCCAATTTGGGACTCGGTGGACTAGGCCACATTCTGCTACTCTAACAAAGAATTTGCAGGATAGGTTAAATCGATTTGCAGCCAACTTAAAGCAAGCTGCAGAAAGTGATACTCGTATTGAGCGTTCTGTGAGAGATCATTCTGCACTCATGTCAATACTTGATCGCCGTCCGGTGGGTATTCTTGCCTATACATAATAATTCCTTACCGCTGTAAGATATGATATCTCTCTTGTAGCTTATATAATAGTGCATCTATTTGCATGCATATTATTTGGCAGTTACAAATTCGTTTCTAAGTTCTGAGGCCCACTTTTCTTGAATGGTTAACTTGAACAACACTAGAAATTCCTACCATCCATTCTGCCATTAATAGTAAAAATCCCTTCTTTATTTAGATGGCTTATTTTGTGGCTTTTGGCCCTGTGGCATAATATTTCCAAACTATCATTGTGCTTGATATAATTCAATCTATTTTATGGCATAAGTTTTACATTATCGCCTTCTCAACTAATAATTGACTAAATTTATGTTTTGCTCTGAACTCTGAGAATAATAAATGTTGTACTACTTATGTACATTATGTGCTCACCAGATTGAATCAGCTCTTCCAACTCTGTCAAGGCCAATAATGTCTTTGGATGCCAATGAAGATGCTATTGTCGGGGCCCTGAAGCAGAGCTTGGTATTTCTTCATTCACTGGAAAGATTATTGAATTTTTTTGACTTGTTAAAGTAGAAGAAGATAACTATGTTTTACATCTTGCCTGCTTGTCTATGCAGAGGCAGTTGGAGGCTCTTGGTGCTCAACGGGCAGGACTTGAAGACATGCTTAAAGAGATGAAGAGAAAGGTATTCTGTTTGTTTGATAATGCTCGTGTTTTTCCCCTTTTATTGTGTGCTAGCACCTTTTCCCCACTTGTTGCTTCAATTTGGAGACAATTTTCTCCTATTGCAATTAATTGGTCTAATAATCTGAAATTCTTGGAATGTTAACGGTGGCTAAGCTTGTGGATGGCACTAATTGATTGAACATTTTATGTTGGTACTTGATGCATGATACAAGATTTTGACTGATAAGTGCTGATTCTTGGCTTATTTTGCAACTGTGTGTGGACACTGATTTAGAAATTATTATGCCACATATAAGTGACCTTTTGGTCAAGTATATTCCGAATATTAAAAAACAGGGTTCTTTATCCCAGGTGAGTCGCATGTACTCATGGCCTTGGTGGCAATTAATGAGTTTAGAAGTAGTAGCTAATGACAAAAGATGCTTTAAAGATTTTCTAAGCTGTTGTTCTGCTTCATTAAGCATAGGGATAAAGAACCCTGTTTTTTAATATTCGGAATATATTTGACCAAAAGGTCACTTATATGTGGCTCATTAAGCATAGGGATTTATAGGAGTAAAAGCAAATGTAAGATCCTATATTTTCGTTAGCCCCCTTAAAGATAGGATTCGTTTTAAAGCAAAGGTATTCAGTATCCCTCTCTGTTAGGATTTGTCTGGTTTTTGCTGATTTTGTTTAGTTATTAACAAAGGAAAATAATGTGTCATAACTGTTTATATAAGATGTATGAAGTTTCATGTTTGATTTTTTAACTAGGATGATAGAGACTCCATTTGACTTAGGTTGATCTAGGCCAGAAGCAAACCTATGTCAAGATAACCCTTCTTTGAAACACTTTGGTAGTGCTCCTGTATTGTATTAGAATTTAAATAATGAATCAGTACACGTGGAGCCATTTTCTTATTTTTCTCTTAAGAAAAAATATGGTAGACTAACTGATATTTATATCAGTTAATGAAAAAGCTCAATGCAAAACAAATGCATGTTGGGTCTTTGAAAGAGTTCAAATCATTTTGATAATAATCAGTTCGATTTCTTTTACCGAGAAGGTCTACGGTTCCTCATTTATACATTCATCCTTTTCCAAAATTATTATCTCCTTTTTATGTATTCTTCTGTTCCAATTTTTTGTTTCTCAGGCTATTTCAAAAGACTTCAGTTCTAATTTATAACCCTGTATATGTGCAGCAGCTTGGCACCCCCTTGGTGCCTTGCATATAACATTCTTAAAAAAACTTCTTAGTTTTCTTGTGTTTCTCTCCTTGTAGTGGTTAGTTCTATACTGTTGCACATATTCTAGAGTTGGCGACTCTCATGTTGTGTATGTGATTGCAGGATGATATACTACCAAAGTTGATGACATCCACTGGCTCATATGAAGATCTTTTTAGGAAAGAAATATCAAAATATGATCACATTTGTGAAGACATTGCGCAAAACATTGAGGCACAAGAACAGTTATTGATGCAAATTCAGGTTTGTTTCCATGCTTTTCTGTGATTTCTGAACTTGTGATCTCTGATCGCTTAATAATGATGACTGTCAAATGACCTGCTCTTAATAATGACTTAACATTATTAAGAATATTAAAATAAGTCGAACTGAACATTTAAAAAAAAAGATTTTGTAAGTAGAGTTGGAACTTCTTGCTTCCTCTTCCTGGACTTCAGTAATTTATGAATGTACTCTGGAACTTGTTCTGCTCTTGTTTGTATGCACATAGCTTTTGTGCAGAATGATTATGATAAGGTCCGTGGTATTTTGATCTCATAACAGGACCTGTTAAGAGAAAGTCTGAAGCAGAACTGATGTTCTCGCTTTGGATTTTGATTTTTCTACCTATGTTGAATGTGGTTTTAAGGTTTCATTAGATAGAACCCTTGAATTTCATAAAGAACAGAAATAAAATTTTGTTGTCTGAATCTGATCATTATATTCCCTTCAATCGGGTCTTTTGTTCCAGATATTATAACTGCTTCCTACAGTTAAATAACTGTCCTCTAGTAAGATAACTACCTTCCCCTACAATAGGATCGTCTAACACATCAAGCTACTGTTTGGTTCCAATCAAAGCTTGAAGAAAACAGGAAAATACTTTCTGCTGAAGGTGAGAAAGACACCAGAATTTGAGTTGAAATTTTTACTTCCATTCCATCTAAAATTGTAGGCTTTAAATAGCCAACAAGAGATTGCATGATAATGATAAATTCCTATGTTTACGACATGAAAAATAAAAGGATAAGGATCGTGGTCACTTCCGCTGTGGGGAGTTGCTACTGTGGAGTGGAGCGGTTCTTCAATTGGAGGTGGGTAAGTGATGTTGTGGAGAGTTGCTGCTGTGGAGTGGAGTGGTTCTTCCGTTGGAGGTAGATTAAGTGAGACCGATTCTATGGGTGCACGCGTTGTTGACCCGGTCATGCTCCATCAAGATACTTTGGGTTCTTTGTGGGGATCCCTTGGGATCTACGGATCCTAACATTACTCCCTCCTTTTTTAGTGACTTTGTCCTCAAGGTCAGGAAATTGGGTGATGAGGTTGGTAGTGTTTTCCCATGTGGCATCTTTGGTGGGCAGATTTTTCCAGTGGACCAAGCTTTGTTCTACAAATTTACCGCCTTTCTTCAGCCAACGTGTGTCCAGGATTTGATGTGGGTGGAGTAAGACAGTACCTTCCTTGGTAGTAGTGGAGAGATCCTTGGTGGTGAAAACTGATTCGCCTACTTGTTTTTTGAGTAAGGACACATGGAAAACCGGGTGGATACGAGTTCCTGCTAGTAGTTTGAGTTTATAGGCGATTGGACCAATCCATTGCTCTACTTGGTAAGGTCCATAGCATCAATAAGCCAATTTCTGAAGGGCCCTGCGGAAGACAGTTTGTTGGCGGTAGGGTTGTAACTTGAGAAAAACCCAGTCTCCTTCCTGAAATTTCAAGTTGCGTCTCTTGGTGTTGGCGTAATGTTGCATGCTATTCTGGGCAACATGGAGATTGGTTTTTAGTTGTTGCAGTAACTCATTTCGCTCCATTAACTGTTGATCTACTTTGTTGACCGGAGTCATTCTTGAATGATGGTATAGTATGGCAGGGGGAGGTTGCCCTTAAAGAGCTTGAAAAGGAGTCATTTTGATGACAACGTGATAAGTAATATTGTACCAGAATTCTGCCCATGGAAGCAGGGAGCTCTATTTATTAGGTCGTTGGTGACCTAAACATCTTAGGTATTGCTCGAGACATCGGTTGACTATTTTGGATTGGCTATCCGTCTGGGAGTGGTAAGCTGAGCTCATTTTTAGTTTTGTGTTTGATATTTTGAAGAATTCCTTCTAAAAGTGACTGACGAATATCAGATCTCGGTCACTGATTATGGTGTGGGGTATCCTATGTAGCTTAACTATTCCCTCTACAAATTTCTCAGCCACCGTCCTAGCTGTGTAGGGGTGAGATAGTGCCAAGAAGTGTGCAGACTTACTGAGGCGGTCGACTACTACCAAAATGGTGCTCTTGCCACTGGAGAGAGGTAAGCCTTCTATAAAATCCATCGTGATGTCTTCCCACACTTGGCATGGAATGGTAAGGGTTGGAGGAGACCTGCAGGTACCGGTGTCTCTATTTTTACTCTCTGACAGGTTTCACAAGCGGATACGTATTCTTGGATTACCTTTTTCATAGATGCCCAATGAAATTGCTGTGTCAATCTTTTATAGGTGCGGAGGATTTCAGAATGTCCACCTAATGGTGAATCATGGTAAGCTTGTGGTATCAAATGAGACTTGAGGGGGTAGGACTACTCGATGCTTATAATAAGTCAATCCATTTCTTGCGGTATGAGGCCCATCTTTTTGCTCTTCTGCCAATTTACTAACCTTTTGCATATAGGGTTGTGTTTCTGTTTCTTTCCTGGTGTCATCCCAAATTTGATTCTGGTGGATGAATAGGGCATCCAGGGACAGCCCTGTAACGTGTCTGGAGAGGGCATCTGCCGCTGCATTGTCTTTTCTTGGCTTATACGTGATCTCATAATCGTACCCAAATAATTTGGATACCCATTTCTGTTGTTTCGGAGTGGTGATCCGCTGTTCGAGTATGTATTTGAGACTGCATTGATTTGTCTGAATAAAAAATTTCCTGCCCATCAGATATGGTCTCCAAGGCTGTACTGCAATAACAACGACCAACATTTCCTTGGTATAAGTGGACCAAGAGTGCTTTAGCGACTCCCAAAGCTCTGCTTAAGTAAGCTATGAGTTTCCCTTGTTGACTGAGGACTGCTCCTATTCCGATCCATGAGGCATCAGTCTCAATAGTGAATAGCTCACTAAAGTTAGGTAGGGGCAGTGTGGGGGTGGAGGTCATGGCCTCTGCTTCAAGCTTTTGAAGGCTTTCTCTGCTTCGTCGTTCCATTCAAACTACCCTTTTTTGAGGAGCTGTGTCGATGACCTGACAATGAACCCATAATCTTTTTACAAATTTTTTGTAGTAGCCAGTTAGCCTTAAAAATCCGTGGAGTTCTGTGGCAGTGGCCGAGCTTGACCAGTCTAACATTACTTGAATTTTACTCTGATAAACTTGTACCCAATTCGGTGTAATGATGTGGCTCAGATATTCTAATTCTTGTTGGCCAAACACACATTTCTTGAGCTTGATATTCTGTCTCAAACTTCAGACGCTTGTCGCACATGTACTAAGTGAAATTACCAGTCAGGGCTGTATACTAGAATATCATCAAAAAATACTGACACAAATTTGCGCAAGTACGACCGAAATATGACATTCATAATAGCTTGGAAAGTAGAGGGGGGCGTTGCAGAGTCCGAAAGGCATTACCAGATACTCGTAGTGGTCATTGTGAGTTCAGAACGCTATTTTGTGGACATCCTCAGGGTATACGTTGATCTAGTGATATTTGGATGTTAGATCCAGTTTGGTGAATTGAGTGGCACCATATAACTCATCTAACATGTCATCGACCGTTGGAATAGGAAAACGGTCCTTGATGATGATTGCATTGAGTGGCCGGTAGTCGGTGCAGAACCTCCAAGTGTCGTCTTTCTTTTTGACTAACAAAACCGGGGATGAAAATGGACTAATGCTGGGTCGGATGAGCCCGGAAGTAATCATCCCGTCTACTTGCTTTTCAATTTTGGCCTTTTGGAAAGAAGCGTATCGATACGGCCGAACATTGACTGGTTTACTTCCTTTCTTGAGGTTGATGTGGTGTGAGACTTCTCTAGCTGGGGAAAGTCGATCGGGTTCCTGAAAAAGACCCAAAAACTCGGCCAACAGCTTCTGTAATTCTGGATTGGCAATGGCAGAATCGGCTGTGCTGATGGAGAGCAAGCAAACTGCATACAGAGAAGGTTGTCTACTGGCTTTCTTGGTGATCTCTTCCAGCGAGGCTGCCTGAATAGGAGGGGCATCAAGACCTCATAGAAGTTGCTTCTGATTGTTCCATTAGAATACCATGGTGAGCCTCTTCCAATCGCAGGTCATGGTGCCAAGGTTTTTTAACCACTGGACACCCAAAACAATATCTAACCCTGTCAGTGGTAAAGAAAAGAGTGTGAATGAAAATGGGGTACCTTAGATTTGTAGTGGAACATTGTCAAACCGTCCTTGGCATTTCAGGGTGTTGCCGTTGGCCACCTTCACTGAAAATGGGGTTGTTGGTACGACTGGAAGTCGTAATCAGCTTGCCACCTTTTCACAAATGAAATTGTGGGTGGAGCCGCTATCAATGAGAGCAACTACTTCATGATGTCCGATGGTGGCGGTGATTCGCATGGTGCGAGCCGGTGTCCAGCTCGTGAGAGCATGCAAGGAGATTTCAGGCTCGGGGCCATCTGCTTCTTCATCTTCTTCACCGCGTCCTTCAAGTATCAGGAGCTGCGGTTTGCGACAATGGTGACCAGCCGTGAAGCGCTCGTCCCAGTTAAACGACAACCTTTGAGATCTCTGTCGTTGCATTTCCTCCCAGGTGAGCCTCTTGGGTGTTGCGGGCGTGGCGGCTAGGGTTTGCGGAAGAGGATTGAGTAAGGACGACAGGTGCTGGGCAGGTTGGGCTCTCCCAGATCGGGTCAGTCGGTTTTGTTGACCCACCTGCTCTTCCCGCATTTGGGCCAGGCCGATGGTGTCTCTAAGTGTCCTGGGCTTGAACATTCAAATCCCATCCGTTATCTTAGGCTTGAGCCCACCAATGAAGGCTCCAACTAGGGCCCGCTGAGGCCACCCATAGACTCTGTTGCCCAATTTTACGAACTCTCTCTGATAGTCACAGAGTGGGCCGATCTGACGGATGTGGGCTAAAGCCTCATCAAAGTCTTCAAACTCGATCGGCCCGAACCGCACCCACAGCTCCTCTTCAAACCCTGTCCAGGTGAGTTCTCTTCCATCTTCTCTATAATTTTGGTTTAGCCATTACCACCACTGATTGGCTTCTCCTTCTAGGTGGTAGGCTGCAAGAGACACTTTGTGTTGCTCGGTGGTGCCTTGATAGGAGAAGAATTGGCCAATCCAGCACAACCATTCAGTTGGGTCACCCCCAACGAAGACCGAGAACTCCAGCTTGGCGAGTTTGGAATAGAATGGGTTGCGGCTGTTCTCTTCGGGTTGTGGATTTGCATCGCGGTTGGCGGGCTGGGACAAAAGAGGTGGTAGCTATTGGAGCCTTCTCTGCTAGATGTGATGGAGTTGGTGAGTCGTTGGATGGATTCTTCAAGCGCCCGAAATTGGTCAACGATTTCGATTTTCTTTCAGCTTAAATGATCTTGCACTCCTCCGAGGCCAGCCCCCAAATTCTCAATCCATTCTTTGTTGGTCGACATAGTAAGCTGCTCTAATACCAATATTTGATTCCAATCAAAGCTTGAAGAAAATAGGAAAATACTTTATACTTAAGGTGAGAAAGAAATCAGAATTTGAGTTGAAATTTTTACTTCCATTCCATCTAAAATTGCAGGGTTTAAATAGCTAACAAGAGATTACATGATAATGATAAATACCTATATTTACGGCATGAAAAATAAAAGGATGAGGATCGTGGTCACTTCCATTGTGGGGAGTTACTGCTGTGGAGTGGAGCGGTTCTTCAGTTGGATGTGGGTAAGTGAGTTGTGGAGAGTTGCTGCTGTGGAGTGGAGTGATTCTTCCGTTGGAGGTGGATAGGTGAGACTGATTCTGTGGGTGCATGTGCTGTTGACTCAGTCATGCTCCATCAAGATACTTTGGGTTCTTTGTGGGGACCGACGGATCCTAACATCTACTCCCTGATATAATACAAACACAATAATTAGATAATAACAAACAGTTGCTACATGACAACTAAGTAACAAACCTAAACATCATTGCCACTGTCCACTCTTGCTGTTTCTTTCTTCTGCCTATGCTTATAATATACTAACCCAAATCTTTGACTCGTAGCATATTATATTTTTTGTTTGATTTGTCACTTATCCATATTTCTCCTATTTAGAAATTGCATATTGAAGAATTATTTATCCTTCATTTACAGGCACAAAACGAGCAGTTTTCTGCTGTTTTTAACCTTGAAGATTATAAAGGTACATTTGTCTTTCTTAAGGCCTCAACCTAGTTCCGATTGGTTTCTCCTCGAGGAACTTTGTTATAATTGTGTGTGTGTGTGTTTATGTACATATTATATATATATATTGTACTTGGTGAAGATTTTGTTCTGTACCATGTGCTGCTTATTTAAATATGCTATCAAACTGTTTTTTCTTTTTGTTCTTTTGGGATGGGGATATGTTGTCAAACTTACCACGGAAAAAAGAAAGAAAAGAAGAATTCAGTTGATGGAAATATCATCCTTTTTTATACTGAAGTACAAATTTGAGAGAGAAGCTTTAATTTTATTAGAGAACCATTTGAATGATATTAATGTGATGGTGCTTCAACCCAAACTGCCTGTTAAATAGAAAGCTAGTTAATGTTCCCAAAGTTAATTAGTTTCGAGTGTGTCAATTGTCACCATTACCACCTATCAGTATTGTGCGTAATGCCAGTTGAAAAGTGAAGCGAAGAATAATCCTAAAATAGATTTTATAGATTTTCCTATAATCTCGAAGTTTTTTTTTTTTCATTAGACTTGACTGAGGGGTAGCAGAGACATTTCATTAACTCCTGTTGACTCTTTTACATACAAATTAATAAGATTATACTAGAAACAAAGAACGAGCTTTAACTATATTCTGGAATTTCTCTGGAAATATATTATCTTAGCTATGCCACAGAATGATAGAAAAAAAAATTCTTATCAAAATTCAAAAGTGTGATTGAAACTATATATTTTTAACTACTAAAATATTAAATCAAGACAATATAATTTAAATTCCACCAAATGATTTGCATCTTGTCACAGTTCATTTATTCCGCAAATTAAGTACATGTGATCCGTGCATAGTTAACAAAATATATGTATACTTGGTTGATTGTCCTTAGGGTTTTCCATGTCCCTCTGACATATTATTCTAGTGATAATGTATTCTTTAACTTTATTTAAGGAATTGGCAGTTCTTATATTATTGGATGCCTCTGTGTTTCTATTAAAAAAAATGTATATAATTGGATATCTAGGAGGATTATAGCTTCCATTTGGTGAAATGATAATTACAATTGTCTTGTTTTGCTTGTATTCTCTACATTTGTGCTGGTCTTTTGTTGTAAATATTTATCTATTATTTTTTTCAACTTCCAGCATCCCGAGAGAAGTGTTACAAACAGATACAAGCTGGCATAGCGAAATATAGAGAAATCAAGGAGAACATAAATGAGGGATTGAAGTTCTATGTTACTCTTCAGGTTAAGAATTTTCCAGTTCTGATTATTAGGTTCTTGAGGTTTAGCATTCTGTTTGAAGTATTACTTATTCTACTTTTTGGCTGCCCATGCAAATGTCTGACAATAAATTAATGACCAGTAGACTTTATGTTATCTAGCGCACGTGCTTTCGATTTCACATGCCTGCTAGCTTGCTTTTATGCATCCATAATATTTTTGTAACAGTCAGTGAAGCACTGTAAGTTCTCTACGAAATTTTAATTATCATTCTTCTTTACACAGGATGCAATCACAAATATCAAGCAGCAATGCAGTGATTTTGTAATGACTAGGAACATCCAGTGCCGAGAAATGATTGAGGACGTGCAGAGGCAAATGGCAGGTCTCAGTTTCCAGGATCGCAAGAGCTCGGGCCCGTATTCTGCAGTGGGACAACCCCATCAAACTCCAAGATCAGGTTCACCACCGCAACCAGACCCCCAAACCGCACACCACCCTCCTCCTTCTCAAGCCCCATATTATAGGCCACCAGAGCAGCCAGCAATTCCTGGTTATGGACCCCCTTATGGTGCCCCTCAACCGCCAGCTCCATTCCATATGTCTGCGGCACCTGGTGCTCCCTTCCCTCCTCCACAGGTCCAACAACAGCCACCGGCAAGTCATGAATATGGTCAGCCTGCGTATCCAGGGTGGCGAGGTCCATATTACGGTGCCCAGGGACAGCAACCTGGATCATTTCCACGGCCTCCTTACACCGCTCAAAATCCATATCATCCTCCGCATCAAAGTGGTTATTATAAGCAATGATAGTCTCTATTCCTTCATTATCGTTAAAAAAAGGAGAAATTATTTCATTTCAATTTATATAATGATCTTGATGTGTTGTTCTGTTGTCCTTGTTTGGTCATCTTGCAATGTGAACTGCACTCTCAATGATGTTGCATATCATAGTACAGCCTATTCGTTGTGAATATTCCTGATTGTTTCATATGGATTTTCATAATGTGATCAGATTATAAAGGCCTGTTGTACGTATAGCTTCGGTTGTATTTATACCATGAGATACATGCAGATGAATCCAGGTTTCTTAATGCAATAGAAATTGATAAAACTACCTCGACGGCACCTCAGAAATTCTAATTTCTAACCGGTTTGTTAGTGGCGTGTGTTCGTATGGTCACAGCATGTAATCTTTGTTAGCATGCCCTAAAACTGAACCAGCGGTAGAGTTAGGCTTCATGTGGGACATGTACATATTTATATGTACGTATATATTTTCGAAAATCTGTAAGAAATAAAAATAAATTATTAATTTTTAAGAAATACTGGAAATGACATCATAATAATTTTCAAATTACATTGTTATTTTTATTTATTAATTTTTTATAGTATTAACTTGTTTATATGTTTTTGTTAACAATATACAAATAGACGGAGAAAAATGATATTAACTCAAAATATAATGACAATATATAAGAGACAATATATGTTATTTATGTACCCAAGACTCACCCTACATGATATTCACCAACGTATACGTAAACATGAGTAGATCAACATGCATTATGCATTAAGTTTGAGGAGGACAAACAAGATTGAAGATTTCTGGTTATTAGGGTTCAAGAAAAAAGAAGATTCTGCAACTTTCTTTGAATACCTCTCGAACAATTCATCCACGACCCTGGTGCTACCAAAGTATTTCTCAATGATGTTTTCGAAGACGGCTCTTAGGTACAGTGTCCTTCAGGAACACCGGGAACCAGAAGTGTCATCAAGCTTCCACTCACAAGCTCTTCACCTCTTGAAGATAAAAATAAGTCCACGTCCTTCTTGTACTGAGCAAAGTAAGCTTCCCGAACTTGTTTGGGCGCACCCGTGTAATGGATCCTCCCAGGGTTCCAAGCAGGAGAGGCTTTCTCAATGAGCTCTCCCGGTACTTTAGATAACCAGCACAGGGCACAAGATGAATAAGCAAAATGAATTGAGGCCTTGGGAAATAAGCGACCGTAGAAAGAACCGGGTGCAGTGGCTGCAAAGAACTGCTTTGTGGGTGGCAGTAGAGTGAAGAGAGTTTTGAAGTCGTTGTCTAGTTGATCGTTGAAGAAGACATGAAATTCTGGGTAATGTTGATCAGAGTTCAATCCGTTAATAGACTTGAGTTTTCTCTCTATGGCTTCTAATATGACTTTCACTGCAAGAATCGTATTAGGTCCGCTGGAGCAGCCAAAATCTACAAGGTTAAATGAGGTTGAATTTGGTGATAAGATTTGTTTGATGTCGAGTTTTGTATCGATCTCCTCATTGATTATATTCTTTGCAGCATCCACAGCTCCTCTCTATAAATAGGGACAAGAAGATTATATATTTTAGATCTTTAAAGTAAAAAAGAACGTGATTTGAGTTCTTACATAAGAACTCTGAGAATTATATTTCAGAGTCCAATTTGAGATTAAAGTATCATAACATCATAAAAATTAAGTTTTTATACGAAGCGAAGTGTGAATGATAAGGAGAAGAGAGGACCTGGTAGGAGGAGTTCTGAGCATAGCTGAGAGGGCCATCTCCTCTATTCATGGCAAATGGAGGCAACGTCATTTCTGTCTTCTTCCAAATATGCATGTCTTCCGTATCCTCTATAAACTAAATTTTCTTTTATACTTATGGTTGAATATTATGTTTTACTCCCTGATCTTTTATGTAAATACATTTTTTGGCCCTTCAATAATGATAATTATATTTCTAAATAAATTAAATCAAATTTTTAATTAGTTATAATTACTATAAATATATCGAACCAATCGAACGCACTTCTAACATTTATTCCACTTTTATAAGACCTTGTGTTATATCACCATATTTCGATTTTTCGTATATAAATGTAATTGAAGTATCTCATTCGTAAAAAAATTTACCATAATGCACACAAACAGTTGCTTCTGGAGTAGCCAAATAAGGCTTAGCTGATCTTATATATAACTAAAGAGTCAACTTGAACAATTAAAACTTGACCCGATTTTAGTTGCGGTCCATCTTTGGTTAGACATACATTTTCACAAATAAATTGTCCAAGACTAATTATTGTAGACGTTTCTTCGCAATAATTACGATGATAATTTTGACAGAAAATATACCGATTCAAATCGAATGGATTCAAAATGATATTATAAAATAATAAATTTTATAATTTTAATAACTTATATATAGAATATACAAGTGTTTTAATTATTAAATTATTGATTAATTCAAAGATTTCGAATTTGGTACTGTGGTACAATTCAATAATTTCAGCAACCAGATTAGTGTTTATCCATGCAGCTTCTTTTAGCGGTGTGTTGTATCTAGTCCAAGTTCAGTACACGACCATCCATGCAGCCTTGTTCCTTCATCTACCTGCAGATTTTTTTTTTATGATCATCCAGACCATATATATATATATATATATGTGTGTGTGTGCATATACTTATTATTATTTAGGTTATGGAGTATAACATGTTTAATACCACTGGTCTACGAAATTATAGTGATGAAACCACATTTTGCAAATCACTATATATACATTACTGTTTCTTAATGTAAAATCAGTCAGATAATTATCATCATTATATAATAACTGTTATATTATTCGATTTGGATCGTATATTATTATCTGATTAGATCGAGTTAAACTAAATAATAATTTAGTTGGTTCCCGATCTGATAAGAAGATGTGGGTCAAAAAAAACTTTCAAATCGTATTATAATTGTGAAAAATAGTTAAATGTCAAATTCTTACGAATGAAAATTAATTAAGAATAATTATATTCTAATTATATTAATGACGGATATTAATAGAGCTTGAAATCTTCAATGTTTGACTGTCGGCAAAATTATGAATAAATAATTTCGTAATTTTGGAAAAGAAAAATGTAGAGAAGAAACCAAAATAGTATTTTTATTTAATAATTATAAATACGTTAATATAGTATCTTATTTTATTATAAAAATTGCGAATTTATCAATAATTTTTTTTTTTTTTAAAAAAGATATTTGTAAGTGAATCATGAAAATAATATATATATATATATATATACAAAATAATTTCTCATCAATAGCGTGTGTGTGTGTGAAATTACTAATATTAATATCTTTTTAACGTTACATGCACGTAACCACCTCATGGACAAATGATACTGAATTATGCATAATTCTGTAACTTAATTATTATTCTATACATATATATATATGTTTTTTTATATTGTCTTTGATCAAACAAAGCTTTATATATATATATATATAACTTCATCTTACCTATAACATTAATTTAATTAAAGTTTAGAGAGAAGGATAAACAAATCGACAAAGGGGTGATATTTGGAATCATCTTCAAAAATACCAGAGTCCAGTACTTTCTGAGTGTACTGATCGAACAGCTCGTCCATGATTTCGCCGCCGAAGCTCTCGACAAGAAGTCCTTGGATGACTGCTCTTATCCCGGATGTGAATCGTTGGACGCTTGGCCTGGTTGCCGGAGGCATTGGCCGACCCAGCTGCTCTACTAATTCAACGGCGAAGCACCCGTTTTTGTCTATTGCGGCCTTCAGCTTCTCCGGTGATGTATTGTAGCCTGGCAGGTTGAAGCCGTCCACTTTTGCTTCATCAACTAAACCCTAATTTTTTTAGATCAAGACGAGAGTTATTTTTAATTAATTAATATTTTTATATATTACAACATTATATATACGATCATGGCCATTGAAATGCTGAAATTGAATTTTTGCAATCTTGCTCCAGAAGAGGAATGTATATGAATAAAACCTAGATTTTGCGAAACTTAAATTGAATTCCACTTTCTTATCCTACAAAACTTAGGGTTCGTAAAATCAAAATTGAATTGTAATGTTTAGGGAAATTTTGATTTAGATATAGAGATTAAATCTAGGAAAAATCGGAACTTTTTAAGATGAAGGCGGCTTTTTTTACATTATAAAACATGGGTTTTCTTCAGAATCTAAATTGAAGTCCGTCCATGAAAAAGTTCTAAATTTTAAAAAAAATAATGAAAAAAGAAATATTTAACTATGCGCATGTGGTATGGTAAATAGAACAAAATGCTTGATTACCATCTTGGCCATGTCAACAAGGGCAGATTCGAGCATGTGAAAAAGTGCATTTACAGCACATCTGGATGAGTCAACTCCATCTGGTATACTTGGAACAAGAAGCGCCATGAATCCTCCAGACACGAGCTCTTCAGACCTAGCCTTCAAGAACGAATCTATATCTTTCATATACTGACCAAAGTAGGCTTCTTCTACTTCTTTTCTTCCATAGAAAATCTTCCCTTTATTCCATGCAGGCGATCTGGGGTCTAATACTTCTGGTGGAACCTTGGATAGCCAATGGAGCGAATAAGAAGAATAAACAAAGTGCATAGAAGCTTTTGGGAATAGCCGGCAGTGAAAAGTGCCGGGATTTCCCACGGCATAGTATTTTCTCTCAACAGGGAGTGACTTGAAAAGAGTGTTGAAGTCATTTGTAACATGATCGTTGAAGAAGACTTGGAACTCAACGTTTTCTTGTTTTTCTTCCGAGGTTATAAAGCCCTCGACTTTGCACTTCGACTCAACGGCCTCGACTATGTTCTGCACGGCAATGAAGGTGTTGGGTCCGATTGAACAGCCCAAATCTGCAATACTGAAGAGATGAGGACCGTTTGAAGATGATGATGCGAGTAGTTTCCTTACGTTGAGCTTCTGCCGGATTTGATTGTGGATTAAAGAGTTGACTGATTCTACTCCTCCTTTCTGGAAAAATTATATTTCCATATTAGAAAAGAATTTGAGAAAATTGATATGGTATCCTCTAACTAATTAATAAAGAAGATTTTATTTGAACCTGGTATGAGGACTGTTGAGCATAGCTGTATTGCCCTTCATTATTCATAGGAGATTCAATTGTTTTGTTTTCCATCTTCTCTCCGAACCTGAAAATTATAAGCACCCAACAAGTTTTCTCTCAAGTTTCAATGGCGTTCGGCTTGTCTGTTTTAATTGGTGGTAAGTCAAATAGCTCCCGGAGATGCCAATGTAGATACTCTGAACAAATCAGAAGAATCCAAACAAAACTTGGAACGGGTAAAAACTTGAACTAAATTTTGTTTTACACCGATTTTTAAAATGCACGGTTCCAACATCAGCCTGTTGGATTCAAGATTTTTTAATTCAAGAAGCATATCTATTATGAACGAGGTCGCAGTAATTACCTGTCCTTTTTAACTGTTATGCTGAGATTGTTTCTGTATATATTTTGATCAAACTACAAAAACTTGTTCATCCTTTTAAGACAGCTTTTGGAACTCTAAAATTTTACTGTTAGTATTTAAAAAGTCAGAAAAACGAAGCTTCCGCCATTTCAGAATAGAAAATGATGATTCTCCCGGCTTGGTCTGCGTAGATCACGTGGGATGTTAAAAGGAAGAAAATCATACAATAGCAAAAGAGAAAATAAATCAATGTGTTAAAATAATTGGTAAATTTAAAGAGGAAAAAAAAATTATATTATTAAAAAATAAATAAATTAAGACGTTTAAAATGAAAGAAATCATAATATTAAAAAGATTATAAATTAAATTAAATTATAAAATTATATCATTTGTAATTAATTATTATTATAATTATATCATATATAAAATTATAATATTTAAAGCGAGAAAAATAAATCAATGAGAAAACCCTTTTAACACGGGACTAAGACTGCCTTGAATTGTCAACAAACCTACAATTTAATTTGTTACTGAATCAATAATTGAGTTGAATTTTATCCTTGTAAATTATTGCAAATATTTTGTAATTTAATAATTTCAATGTATAATAATCACCTTAACATTTTCATAATAACCAGATTAAGTAATGGATTATATAAAAATTGTGGATAACAATGAATAATATAACGGCTCGCGGAGAAACAAGAATATTATAGAAAGTAATCAAACGCGACTAAACATCGATTGTATATACACCTGTTTTCGGAGGGTGAAAATTGATATGAACCAGAATTTATATCTACAATACGACATGGAAAATTGAAAAGCAGACGAAACGGAATTTTCCCCCCTTCACTTTTCAGCCCTTTAATCTCTATACACACACACACACGCACCATACAACACGAATCATCAATTGGAAGTTTTTGCTGAACTGAAAATCCTATTACACATGCAAAACTCTGAAAAACGGTATGCGTTTTTCATGGCTTATGCTGTGCATGGATTGATGTACAAACCGCTTGATTTGCAGGCAACCCTTTTCCATTCACAAGCACTTGCTCTAAAAAATCCACTCGAACTGACTTGAATTGGTAACACTGGTCAAATTATGCACAAAATGGTGAGGAAAGGATTTGCAAACAGATAATATAAACTTATATTATCAACAAGCTGCATCCAGTACGTATTTAAATGCGTTTTGACAGTTCTGTGTAGCCAATGACAAAAGCAAAAAATGTGAGAATTACGTGAAAGTACCTTCCCATTCCAAGAAAAATTGACATATCGGTAATTGGGTTCCAACAATGTCAACTGATCTCCCTCTCTAATCTGTGAGCAGAAGTTTCAGTCAGATTCAAATTGTAATACCTTTCTCTTTTTACACACAGGATGGCAAAATCAAGGTCAAGGGTCACTCATTTAAGTAATTTCATTAATCTCATGGACAGATGTTACCCTACAACATAGATACTGTTCGTATGACATGTCTTACCCATTGAAACAGGAAATTAACCAGTCATGTTAACGTATGGCATAAGATGCACAGTCAGTGGCTTTAAGTTCTTTTCAATTAGAAAATTATATAATAACTACCCAGGTTGCTATATGCTTCGGATGAATCATAAATTACAACTGCAATTCAATCACTTAACACATTCAAAGGCAAGAATGAAAAGAGGAGAAAAAAAGGTGAAAAGAAGAACCAGTATTCTTACCGCATCATTGCGGATGCCATACACAGACAGAATAAAGCATATTTGGTCTGAATCACACAGTAAATAATACCTACAAAAAAAATATTTTTGTTACAAATTTATCGTACCCACTTAATAACCTATGCATAAGAAAATGGAAATTCTGATTTCACTTCAAAAATGAACCTAATAATTGATGAAGACATTAACCAAGGGTTTAGCCCATTGATTGCCTCTGCTCTCCTTTACACTGGAGAGTGAGTTTTGAATCTTACCATATGCAAACTCTATATATATGTTTCATTAAAAAAATGATAAACATGATTGGCAGTTCTCAACAAATTAATGTTGCATCAAACATTACCAACGTCATCAGATTTCTCCCTGAGATTTCACCTGACATATCCTCATCCAGATTTATATAGACGCAAGCCTCTAAATAAATAGATTGACAAGTATAGGGTACACAGGTATATGAATAGATGTAGTGTATGAAATCAGGGAAATTTCTTATTATCAACAATCGACATTTTAAAATGCTTCATGTTCTAGGATGAGTAGTAAAAGCCATGTATACACGCAAGTCCAGCATGAGCAACAATACAAATCAAGATGCCATTATTAAGAATGCCTTACAAAGGAGTGCCACTGTCATGCTTGACAAAGGAAAGCACTTTTCCTAATATTGCTGTAGCTTTGTTCAGACCCTCTGACAGCAGGTCAACACTGGCCATTTTATATGAAGAAGTCCCTTGCAAAAGAAAATCCTGATAAGAAAATATATACTATTTCCAAAGCCAATATAGGAATTGTATACTGGAGGTTCCCCATAACCCATCAGACACCATTAACTTTTTAGGCATGGATGAATCAGATAGCTTACAATTAACAGCAGTCAGTGATGATGCAAGTGAAGCAAGTCTTTTAGCTTTAGCATTTGCCTGCAAAACCATATTTTATGAAATCAATTGCAGGGGAAATAGCATTAGATAAATTATACAAGCTCCATCTAGAAATTGTAGAAGGGTCCCGCAGGATCCTCCTAAACGAATGTCAATCATGACTCACAGAAGATTATGTGGTTTGAAATATAAATGCCACTTCAGAGCTCTGAATTCTATATGTTTTCTTTTTTCTTCTAGTTTCTTTTTAGAATAAATTATGAAAATTGTATCTCTGGCAAAGGGTAAAGCAACATAAGTCTCTTGGCTGTTTCTAAGAGAAAAGTATTACCTTCAACAGAATATCTAGCTTATCAAGAAGACTAAGAATCTTCTTAACCTCCTCATTAGCATTCAAACTAGGATCTTTTGAAGCAGCAGCTTCAAAGCCACTAAGAGCCCTCTCATAGTTCTCCAGATACTTGTTTACCTGAAAAGAAAAGGAAAAAGAGGACACATCAATGAATAAAGTTTGGAGATTACCTGTTTCTGGAACATTTGAGAAAAAATTTCAGAAATCTACATTTAAAATTCAAAAGCAAAGACATACAGGACTTACAGTAGCACAGTTGAAATATAGATCTGGATTTGACCTCATTCTTTCATCTTTCTCCTGATATATGTTCGCAACAATCAGAACATGTTTAAAAGCCCAGAATCATTCTTTTGGTTATAAAGAATATGCTAAGTATTTACATGATTGTTTAACAATTTGAACATATACAACAGGGATATGCAAAAGGATCTGATGGGGAATTCCCCATTTTGCAAACTTACAGCATTCTGATAAGCTTTTAAAGACTGCAGAAGTTTACTATGATCCCAAGCTCCCATCACAAAGAAACTAGTGAGGCATGCATTTCCAAGGTTGTCTATCAATAAAATGACAAATTGTTAAGGGAACATAATCTATGGAAACAGCAACAAATGGGGAAAGTTATAACTATAAATTAGCAGCCACAAGAAATACCAGCAAATCTTAAGAATCATAACTAGAAATTTAAAATCAACACAACAAACAGTAGGTGCTGTTGTATATCACTCATGTTTGACAAACAGCAAAGTTAGATCACATTTTGTGTTCTCATAAATTTAATGGGGAATCTTACACCATGAGTGCCCATCCTTGACATCCAGAGTGATAGCTTCCTTGGCATGTTGAATGCTTTCCTCAATTAGTTCAGACTGATTCTCAGCTCCTACAGAAGGGTGACGACCATTGTTAAGCATAATGATAAATCCATCTAAAACCTTCTTTTCTTCCAATTAAACACCGGATGCCATTTACATGTTTTTTTTTTTAAAAAAAAAAGCCATTTATATCTTGATAGCAATTTCTGAGACAAAAGGTTGGCAACAGGGAGCTGTGTATGCTTATGTTGAAACCACATGATGTCACCCATATATCGCCTTCATCCTCAAGGTCATCATTTTGTCATTTCTAACTAAGTAGTGAATCATTCCAATCTAAATTAAGAGATAAGATTGGTAGCATGGCACCTTGTTTAGTTCCACCAAAGATTGAACAATACATTTCATGATGACTGAGCCCTCAAATATCACCTTAACTTCAGAGTTCAGACAAGCTTCAGAAACTCAACGAAAATAGCTCAAAAATCAAAACAATACTAAAATGCACTGAGCAATTACACCTAGTTTTTTAAGAAGACAGTGACACCATATTTCGAACATTGAACATATGCAATTATTTTGTGATTTCTAAAACTTCAAATAAATTAGAAGCTACATTGCTTTGAAATGCTGCCAGCACAATAATTAACACAAGAACTTTTATTTCAACAAACAATAATGCTTTCTCCTGCACATTGTCTCTTAAGACAGACATTCACTTTCATGACCCAAGAAGCAAGTCTCCCTTAGACCTTGGCACTAGCACAGTTGGTCTACTTTGGCCTCCCCATAGAGGAGGCTGAGGTTTCAAGCCCTATCTTGGGCAGTTCCTCTAGGAGAAGAAAAAGTCTCTCTTTGCATGAGCAACCCAAAATTAAGTGCAAGACGACAGTTAGAATACAAGAGAAGAAAAGAAAAGGAAAAAGTAAACTTAAAATCTTGCCTTGTGACATTCTTCTTTCAAGCATTGATAATTGACAGAGTATCTTCTTGTTCGGACCCTGCATGAGTAGCAAAATTGAGTATCTGCATAATTGACAATAAGACACAAGAAATGCGAAAAACGTATTTTATTATTGTGATTCTCAAAACTGTAGGCATATAAAACCAAAAATACCTTGCTTAATGCAAGATTGAGGCAGTTCTTTGCTGAAAGTAAATCCCCCTTCTTCCAGATGGAGTTACCTAGGCATAGCCAAGCATCTGCAAGAGATGGATTTAGCTTGACCTGAAGAATGGGAAGTAAGTTTCAAAAAAAAAAATCCCAGTTATAGCTCTATAGAACAATAAATAACCAACACTAACAATTTGTTCGTACTTACAGCTTTTGAGAGATGATCTTCAGCTTCTTTCCTATAATCAGGTATCACATCGAGTATCTTTCCTCTAAGATATTCATACGTTGCACGTTGCATAGGTAATTTCCTTTGTTCTAAAAAAGATTCAAAACAAGAATTCATGTCTTTTGGCGGATTAACTAAATACTATAGAGTAAACAAGAGCATATAATACCATTAAATTATATACATATATTTACTGTGCACTGGAAGTAATTATTAGGTACTCCAAGTATGTACACAAATGCGACGCAAATCAGGTGAAAGAGGCTCCATAAATGTCTCAGACTCGTACTTTCTACAGTTCTTGTTGACTCTCTCTCGTTAAAGTTCCTACTTCCACTCTCCATATACAGGAATTTCCACTCACTAAACTCCTGCCCGTTTTACCAGAAATTCTATGGGCACTTCTTTCCCACAGCAGGCAGGAGTTCTACTTACTGCATCTTTTGCTAAAAATCCCCTAGACCCATCACTCACTGAGCGATCACTTATCCATGGTTCCTTCCGTTTACAAAAAAGTACAAGGTCAACCAAGTGATAGAAGGCTCTTCTTTTGGTTGATGATACAGAACAAACAAAAAAGAAAGCATCCTACAGCCCATCTTACTACATGTGCCACCATTTTTTTCTAGTTATTCCAAATTTTACTTTCTTTAGAACAAAAGATGAAACTAAAAGCAAGAATTCAAAAGATTGCGATTGAAATTGAAGAAGAAAGTACCAAAAGGAATGGAATCGAGCAGATTGAGAGCAAGATCGGATTCTTTCTGCAAGACGAAGACCTTTTCATCTGGGTTTGCGGGGAAGTACGTGTCTCTGAGATTGTAGAGATCATCGACTGCTTTTGTGACCTTCGCCCATAAATCTTCCTCTCCGTTTTGGTCGCTCATTTCCGCGAGCTCTGTGAGAAAGAGTACACTAACTCACTGGCAGAGAAAAATGGAAAGTAGGAGTAAGAGAGGAGGGGCAGCAAGGGGACGGGGCGATTGAAAACGTTTGTTGTTTGTGTTTGGCGAAGAAAACGGTGCGTTTTAGGAGCCACAAGGAGAACGACGACGTTTAATATATCCTACACTTACCGCCCTGTATTAGAAGCGACAACGTTTCAGTTATTTTTTAGTTTCTTTTCATTCTTTTTCCATGAAAGTGGATTCTAAATGAACTCGGGGCTCAAAAGCATTAACAATTAAAGCAAATGATGACCTAACAAAGCAAGCCATTGATGCACCATGCTCGTGCTTTCAGTTTCATTTGGGCTTTGCTTTCGCCACCACTCCATCCTCCTCAAATATACACACACATATATATGTACATTTAATATGTACTCCCTCCATCAATCTCTTCTTCAGCTTCCCAAGCTTAAAAAATGGAGAAACAATATTTTCTTGTGATTCTCCTTATCACGCAGTTCTCCGTCTTGGCCACCTCGCTCAACGTCCCTGCAATCTTCACATTCGGGGACTCCATTTTCGACGCAGGCAACAACCATTTCAACAAGAATTGCTCTGCACAGGCTGATTTCCCACCTTACGGCTCCACCTTTTTCCATTATCCCACTGGAAGGTTCACCAATGGTAGAACAGTTGCAGACTTCATCGGTCAGTACACTTAATCCTCCTTTTTAACTTCTTCACTTGCTTTACATTGATTCTGTACATATCAAATTGCTTTTCTCTTACTTGGTATTCGTCAAAATGGCAGCACAATTCATCGGCATTGATTTGCAGAAGCCATTTCTTGAGGTAGACATCGCTGTCAAGAACGGAAGCAGAAGGGATTACCCATCTAACGGCATAAACTTTGCTAGCGCAGGAAGTGGTGTGCTAAGAGACACAAACAAAGATTGGGTAATCACGAAAAACTTTAAACTATTTTTTTCAAATCTTGAAAATCTCATCAATGGCGGCCTGAGTCTAATTAATATTCGATTCGCAGGGAGTGATACCGATTCAAGAACAACTACAGCAGTTCCAAACATTGGTGAACCAAAACAAGATCCACAGAGACCTTGTCGGGAAATCTATGTTCTTCTTGGAATCTGGATCGAATGACATCTACAACTACTTCCTGCCGTTTGACCCGCCCAGTCTGGACCCAGATGCCTACGTGGAAGCCATGTTAGTGGAAGTTAGGAAGTTGGTTGACGAAATTTACAAGCTGGGTGCCCGGCGCATTGCGCTGTTCTCGCTTGGTCCGGTGGGTTGTGTCCCAGCCAGGGCGCTGTTGCCTGATGCGCCGACCGATCGGTGTTTCGAGAAGATGAATTTGATGGTTCGTAAGTATAACATGGGACTAGAAGCCATAGTTAAGAATGTACCGGTTAAGTATGCTGGTACTACCGCTGTCTTTGGAGCTGTATACGACGTCGTTCAGAGGTTTAGAGCATTCCCTGCACGTTATGGTAATTAATTTCCCATTTTGACCTTTTTATCTTTCATTTACCCCATTTTTATCCGTAATTTTTAGAAAGTAATTTGGTCTTTTATTAAAATTTACAATATGATATACAGTACGTTCAAATGCCTACTTAATACTTTGTGATTAATTTAGAACTCTAAATCTAATAAGTAAATTTTTTTTTTTTTTTTACAGGACTCTCTGATGTGTCAAGAGCATGTTGTGGTGATGGAATTCTTGGAGGACTGTTACAGTGTGGAAGAGAAGGTTACAAGATTTGTACAAGTCCTAACAAGTACCTCTTTTGGGATTACTTTCATCCTACCGAACACACGTATAGTCTCATTTCAAAGGCCTTGTGGGGAGGCAAGATTACTGAAATCAGACCATTCAACCTCAAGACACTTGCCAATGTCAATGTTCATCTCTAAGCTCGCCACATTTGTAATTTTATCAAGAAAATGCAGTCACGTAATGCATCAAAACTAAACTAAAGGGGTAAGATAAGATCGTGTGGATCAAACTTTTAATATGGTGATGAATTTAAACCGTGAAAAGATTAAGCAATAAATAAATATTAAACTCTGATATATTTTTAAGATTTGTAAACAGTTCCCACCATAATTGACTGTGTCCTGGTGTGAATACGAGGATGGAGTCGGTCTTTTAGCCGACTTGCGCGTAACCGAGAAAACTAATTAAACACACTCGCTGTCAAATTAAACTCCAATTTACAAAAAAGAAGTGGAAGAAAGGTAGCCGACCCCACACGCAAATTACAGCCAGACACATTGGATGACAAGCACCTCCATCCCACTTTCCTTTCTTTTTCCCTGTTCTTCTTTGATTGTGTGCTAGCTAGCTAGGAATCGTTGTTGCCTAATTTACGCGTCTCTTTCTCGTCATCCAAACACTAATTTTCACATTTCCCATGCACCCTCTAACACTTTCCTAATTTATTTATTCAAACTCCATGATTGACTAACTCTCCCTCTCTCTCTCTCTCTTTATGTGTATATATATATATATTATACTAACAACATTCTTGAACCTCGATAGAAACATCTATTCTGCTCTCGTCGATATCTGCTATATATGCTTGTAAATCTTACACATACAACTTCTGTAATAGAGTCAATCCAAAATGGGGAATTACGTTTCGTGCACTTTGGCTGCTCCTTTGATCAAGAATGGCAAAGCGGCAAGAGTCGTGCTTCCCGGGGGGGAAATCCGGCAGTTCAGGGAACACGTGAAGGCCGCCGACCTCATGCTCGACTGTCCCAATTTCTTCTTGGTCAACTCCCAGTCTCTCCACATCGGCAGGAGATTCTCCGCTCTCGCCGCCGACGAGGAGCTCGAGTTCGGTAACGTCTACGTCATGTTCCCGATGAAAAGAGTCAACGCAGTGGTCGCGGCGGCTGATATGGCTGTGCTTTTTATGGCGGCTAACTCTGCTGCCAAGCGGATATCCGGCGGAAAGGCCAGAGTCTTGCCGGAGTCCGGCGGGGGTGATGAGAAGACATCGTCGAAGGAAAGTGATCGGATTGATAGCGACGAAAGTGGAGGTGAAGGGTCAAGATTGAGTTTGGAAGGTGTTGACGATGGATTTCCTTTGCCGGAGTTGAAGTACAGGTTAGCTCTGTGTAGATCGAGGAAGCCATTGTTGGAGACCATAAAAGAAGAGCCTGTTTCTTCGAGATGAGATCGTGGCCGTTGATCCGCTAGGTAGAGACGAGAGACATTAGCTCTTCTCTTTGATTTTTGGTCTTCCAATTATTTTGACCCATTAATATTTTTGTGGGTGAATATTCATAATTCAAACGTATAATTTTAGTAGAAGAATGAAATCAACTCCTATTCATGATTCTTGGGTATTTACTCTTAAAATTACTGAATAAATATCTCATACACATATACTTATACATATACATAATTAAACAAAAGTTAATTCAATTAATTAAACGTAATTAAATAAAAGTTAATGGTTGGTTTTTTAATCATACAAAAAGTCCCACTTTTCGAAGCGCTCACAAGTTATAATTTTATAAGCTGTTACAATTAATTGTATTTCGTTTTATGTAGTATATTATAAAAGAAACTAACTATGGATTTTAACCTAATTATTGTCTCTGATTACCTCTATGTTATGCAGAGTAGGAGATACATAAATGTGGGTATAGCAGTACATATGTAGTAAAAATATATATACTTATTGAAGAAGCGCACGCACATACACACACACACACATACACACGCACATATATATATATATATATATATATGAAGCGGAGGGTGAATATTTTACAAGTGAAAAGCCCAGTTAAAACAACCCACGTAAGGCAATTTTAGTAGGACAGAAGATAAGCAAGGGGCATATATAACATATTACATAAATATGTTATATAAGAAAGAAAAACAAAAGAAAAAGTCCCAGATGGAAATTTGATCTCATATATATAATATATATATATTTATTGTACGGATCATATGAGAGTATCCAAATGGGAAGGAAAGCCTACGCTTCACTTCTTGCCCTTCTGCCCAACATGCAAACCAGTGAAGTAAGCCTTCGGGTTGCTCTCGAACACTCCGCGTGGAATGAAGGATCCACTCCCTCCCGGAGCTTTCATCTGACCTCCTCCGCTGCTTTTGAATCCTCCTCCTCCTCCTCCTCCTCCTCCTCCGCTTTTACTTCCAGCCCCACCGCCACTCTTACCGCCGCCGCTGCCGCTTTTGCCACCACCCATTTTGCACCTTCAACTAGTTTGTAAGTAAGATGAAGTTGTAGTTGTTTAAGATATGTGAAAATGAGGGAGTCTGGTTCAGTTTTTATAGTGGGTGTGGGAAGGGTGAAAAGGGAAAGTAAATTTGTGAAATTACTCTCTCGGTGTGCGGCAAAGCACTTAATTTTCTTTGGCTTTTTTCATATAAGATACTTTTTTGTATGGAAAAATTTATTCTTTTGATAGGAATAAAGTTGTTCGAGGTACCTTTTACTATAGCTGAATTTATCATAGATAGATATATATATATATATATAAATGTATGTATGTATATGTGTGAGAGAACTTTGGATCTTAATTATTTGGTGTGAATGATTTTACTTGTATCATAAGTATTCTTTGGATATAAATCTAAACTATGCTTGCAATGAAAATGTCAAGGTTATTATGTGATGTTACTGCCACCATATAAAAGAACTTTATTTATTTTTGAAAAGAAAGTGAGAGGTGAACTTTATAGTACATATAATTATTCTTCTTTTTATTTTTACAAATTTTCCAATTACTTTTTCATATTTGATGTACGATTTTTTTCTATTTATTCTTAACAAAAAATTATTAATTATTAATTTAATTAATTAGTTAAAATTATTTTTTAAAAACTGTTTTAAAAATATTCAAATATGATTAATCAAATTATTGTAAGTAATTAAATATAAATAATTAATTTCGTAAATTATGTTTTTTTTTTTTCTATTTTACTCAAAAATATTATGCTTTTGCTTTTCAAAGAATATATCATTTTGCAAAATTTCACATTGCTTTATGCTTTAATTTTCGGGGGGGCCTTTCCGGTGTCGTATCAAAAGTTATTTGTAAAGAATGACTTTGTAATTTGTCTTGGTCTTCTTAGTCTTCGGTCATGTTCTAATAAATTTAATTTTTGATTAGTTTAATTACTGGGTTTAGTTGTTATAATACGTTCGGTAATTCATTAATCGGATTAAGTAGTCTTTTAAATTTTTTTAATGTAAATATAATAACAACCAAGTTGCTATAATGTTATATAAATAAGTATTCTTGATCATAATAAATTTAAAATATTTTATTTTATATATATATATATATAAATATGTTTATTAAATAATTTTAAAAGTAAATTCAAATACGTATTATTTTACATAAATATGTAATTTATCACGAAAGATTATATGGGTATGAGATATAAGTCAATAATCTTCGTTTTAATCTGTGCAAGAAACTCATTTGATTTCTACGAGGAGATATAATTACGTAGAAATGAGGTACAGTCAATAATTTACGTTTTAACCTGTGCATGAAACTCATTTAATTTACGATTTCGTTTTAATCCACACATGAAATTCATTTAATTATAATAATATAGGCGTGAGCTATATAAGTCAATAATCTTCATTTTAATCCATGGATGAAACTCATTTGATTTACCGAGACGATGTAATTAGAGAGTGTGAAGTACAGTCAATATCTTCGTTTTAATCTAATATTCGCGGTAAATGCTATTAAAGAAAACTTCTGACCAAACCATTGGATAATCTACTAAATAAGCTGAATGATTATGAGCTTATGTTTCTCTCTGTGCCAAGATATTCCAGCTACCAACAAAACAATCAGAATTCAGAACTACAACCACAACTTTATTCATTCAATTACCAACATGGATCCAAATAATGAAAAATATACACAAGCACTAACACGATTCAGTGAATGCTAATACCTTCAGTTCTTCGTATACAAGAAGGAAGGAAACAAACACCTCTTTTGACTTTGCCATGTCTGCTGGAAAGTCTGAATCATCACCATTACACTGTACTTAAATCTAC